GTGGCCATCATCTGATGGCTGCAGTTTTATAAGGAAGTGTACCCATTTGTGTTGTGGGGTTAAAGCTGCTGAGGAAGCTTCTGCTCTAGGTCCTGACAGCTTCTTCTGCCCTAGATCCCCAAACATGCAGGCTTGATGTTTGGACTTGGGAGCCTTTGGTCCCCTGTGCAGGTGGGCAGTATTTTGCTTTTAGCTTCCTGTTCCTACAAACTATGTGGGGGCCCCAGCTTACCCTCTAGAAAGAAAAGGGAAAACTGGGGTGTAACAGGGGAGAGCACCCTTCTGCCTGGCACTGCTGGGATGGATGGCACCGATGCATGGGGCGGGGTCTTCTGCTCAGCCATGGGTGGCACCGATTGGGGCGGGGTCTTCTGCTCAGCCATGGGTGTGAGCCTCAGTGCTGCTCCTGCTGGAGCAAGTCACGGCCACCTAGAGTGTGCTTGGTCAAGGTCAAGGGTGGGAGTACCAGAGCCACCTCTCACCTCCTGCCTAGACACAAGGCTCACGGGAGGTTATTCAGTATGAGGACGTGATCGGGCCAACTGGGAATAAAAACCAGTGCTCAGAGCTTCTGGCCCTGACTTTGTCCTTTTGAAAGCAACTGCAGGGGGACTGAGCCAGCTGCACTTTTGACTGCAGGGATCCATTCACCTTGAAGTCACATTCCTATCAAATCCTTGTTAACTGGAAAGCCTCCTGTCTTAGTTTTTTTGCAGATGCAGACATTTTCTAAATAAAACGTTGAGTCATGGTCCCCATGTACAAGAGACTCTGCTTCCCTCAAGCATTTATGGCCACCTGTGGCAAGTGCTGGGGACACACAGCTGACGCAACATGCTTCTTTTCTATGAGGCGTGCACATGAGCCAGGGGGACTCACACACCAGCAAGGCCCCTAGCCCCTCCTGGAAGGCATCCGTTTCTATGGGTCAGGGGTCTCTAGTGTCAGGGGTCATGTGTTCAATGGGGAGCTGGGATGTGCCAGGCACATGGCAGGACCCTTGCCCACTTATGCCCTGTCTGTGCTGTGGTTTCTGAACAGACCACTTGCTAGAACTTCCCAGGGGGCCATTTCTAAAATAGGGGTGACTGCATCCTATTTAGGGCTCTGGCATACATACTTTGGGGAAAGCATTATGCAGGTGATTTTGACTACACAAGTAGTCTACAGAAGTAGTCTAGCCCTGGGGTGCATCTCACACAAGCTCTGCTTGCCTTGCCACATGCTGACTGATGTCAACCAGACAACTTTCCTAAGCTCTGGGCTTTTGTTGCTCATCTGTAAAATGGGCACAATGACAGCAGCTGCCTCTTGGGGTTTTTGGAAGGATTATACCACATACTATGTGGTGAGGATAGGACTGTACAGGGCTCATAAAAAGTATGGCAAGTGTCATGTGAGTGTCTGTAGCTGCCGTTACTGGCTCTATGATTACTACTGGAGGAACAGCTTCCAGATACAGTGAGACCCGAGGAATGAGTTATTGGGAAAAGAGAGGGTAGAGCACAGAGACAAACAGGGCCAGGCTGGACAGCTGGGTGTGGGGGGTGCACAGTGAGGTGCAGAACCCGTGGAGAAGACGCTGGGGGCAGACATGAGGGCCCAGGTACCATGCTGCAAAATCTACACTTGATTTAGACAACAGTAGGGGGCTGGATACCACTGAGGCCCACTGATTTGCTGTGTCCACGTGTGCGTGTGTGCACATGTGTGTGAGTGTGCACATACATGTATGAATTTGAATACAGGTGTGGTGGGTACAGGGCAGCCCAGTGTTGGCCCCCTCATAGATCCACTCAACATCTCCATGATTCAGGGACCTCAGCCTTTTCTCCAGCACTCAACCAATTGGTTCCGGGTCTTTAGCCTGACAGCATGCCAGGCTCCATGCTAACCTGTCAGCATCTCCCAGCAACCTACCACAGGCACTTCCCTGGCTGTGGAAGAACCAGCCTTCCCCATTTCCAGAGCACTCAAAAACCCCACCTTTGCCATGCTGGTGACCCCTGGGAAGCCCTGGAGCCAGCACCAGCCCACAAGCCCTTTCCATCCCCTCAGAGTACGTAGGGTTAGGGCTGCAGTGCCCAGTGCCCTCATGCTGGATCCTGGCCCTGGCATTGGTATCCTCGCGACTTACATTCTTGGCTTTGGTCTTCTGCACAGCAGGGAGAATGGCCATGCGCATTGCCAGGGCTGGGGCAGGCTAGAAATGAAAGGAGATAGTGTACCCAGTGCATGGTCACATGGGCACATGGCCCTTGCTTGGTTCCTTCACCCAAAATCAAGCTCCAACACCTTCCTGAAGACGCAAATGTGCCAGGCGCTATGTTGTGCACCAGGGTGACAGTGTGGCACAAGCCAGGCCCTGCCAACCTAGAGTTCACAGACCACTTTGGGGAAGGAGATAGAAAATGACAAGCTCCTCTGTTTATACAACACCCTTCCTTGTGATTCCTGTGCCCCACAGCCTAGTCTGTGACAGAAGCCAAGTGCCAGACCCACGTCTGCCCAATCCACGTTCTTTTGAGTGGGCTACGAAGACCCACGAGTGGGAGTGTTGAACAGCACAGATGCTGGGAGGACACTGCCGTGAGAACTGTCACCCCCAAAGGCTGTGGTCCAGGAGCATCCTGAGTCACGCGAATGTAGCCCATCTCCTTCCTTCTCACTGGCTTTCAGTGTTCTACTCTGCTGGGCAACTTCACTCCTGCTGATCACAGCCAAATGGCCAGTGATAGTAATAATTCAATTTGCTCAGCAGGAGAAGTGAAGGCTTGGCTTGTACTAATGATCTGAAGCTAGCGTGTAATTTATGCTCACAGGAGGCAGAAGCACACCGTCTCCTCCCAGTGATGAATCGCTTTGATTAATAAGACACATCACTCCAGGTAAGGAGCCGGGATGGTGGTTTGTGAATGGGCTGCAGAAAGATGACCAGGAGAGGAGCGAGACGAAGACAGTGCAGAGGATGACAGCTTTTTAAGGGGCTTTATCTGAGGAGGAGATTTAGAGAGCAGGGAGGAGCCTGGGAAGGCTGAGAGTGAGCCCCTCCTTATTACCCATCTTTTTATGGCAAAAGCCCTATGTTCTGTTGCCCCCATTTTCCCAGAGTCTGACAATGTAGTTATTAATTTGTACAAAGCAGCAGCACTAAAGACATGGATTTCTGCAGGACTCAGTGGTGCTGCTATAATTCAAGACGGTGATCTGCAAAGAGCTGGCAACAGAGACACCGTGGGGATCTAGGGCACTCTTCCCAACAAGCCAGAGTGGCCCAGGTCGACTCCGAGGAGGAGGTGCCCAAGAAAAGAAAGGAGAAGATGGCTTATCACGGTGCCTCACTGTTAGTGACGGCTGGAGCAGGGAGAGCGTCCACAGTAACAAAAGGTCCACTTTTATCCAGACTCAGCCCCCCTTCCTCGGTGGCTCTGACTTCTGACTCGCGTCTCTATTGTCCTGGTGAGCACAGCCCAGAGATTCCTCAGGCCCTTTCTACCTGGTGCTCTTAGGTTACCCAGAGCCACTGGACATGGGACAAAGATGTCTCCCAATTGCTGTTACGGACAAAACCAGGACAAGGAGGAGGCTGCTGACAGCTACGAAGACAGGGAAAAGAGGGAGGCACGGTGAATGGAGGGGTCCAGGGTGGAGCGCACCCCAGCAGTTTGGTCCTTGTATAGTTCACGCCACGAGTATCCTGCATTGTGGTGGGGAAGAACAGCTCTGGTCCTTAGTCCATGCTAATGCTGGGAGATGCTTTGGTGTAAGGTAAAGAATGAGCATGACCCGTGGTCCTAAAGTCCAGGCTGCTCCCGCAGCACCTGGGAAAGCCAGGGCTGAAAACAACACCCGATTCTCCAGCTGCTTCAGGTTCGGAGCGGGCGGGGCTTCCCATCCCTCCGCTTGCTGCAGAGGGGCTGCGACTGTGCCCCCGCTTGGGCTGCCCAAGGAGGACGTGGCTGCAGGTCAGGAGAAACTTGGACGGGTTAAAACAGTACACTGACAACCTTGTGCTGCCTCTGATTAGCCACGGGTCTGAGCACGACGTGGGACAAATACTACACGGGACACCTTGCCTGCTTCTCAAAACAACCCATGGAGTGTGGAAGCCCAGGCTCAGAGAGGCAGTGGGAAAGCCGCATGTGAGGGCCCTGCTGTCACTCCAGCCCCTTCTTGTTGGTCACCCCTGCTCTCAGGCCCAGGAGCTCCTCTATTCTTTCTCTTGCTTCTGGGTCTTGTGCTGTGAGGTGCCACCCCTCCACTGACCAAGGGTCCAAAGCTGGCACCTTCCCTGAAGCCTGTACCCCACCAAGGCCAGCAGTAGGTGGCCTCTTGGGAGATTCACCCACCCAGAGCTTGTGAGGACTTTTCTTAAAATAGGACATTCACAGATGTTCTTGAAGGATGTCATCTTGGATGTGAGTGGGCCCTAAATCCAAAGACAATGACACTGTCCTTACAAGAGAACAGAGAAGGAGAGGCCATGGGAAGGTGGAGGCAGACACTGCAAGTATTTACAAGCCAAGAAACAGAGGAGCTCCAAGGACCCCTGGCGGCCACTAGAAGAAGCTTAGGTGACGAGGAAAGAGCCTGGTCCAGAGCCTTCAGAGGAAACACGGTCCTACTGACCCCTTGGTTTTGGATTTCTTGCTTCCTTTCCTCCCATTTGAAAGCATACATCAGAATGAAAGGGCCCCTGCCATTACTAAAAGACTGCCATTCATCAACTCTGATTTTTGCATAGCAAAAGTCAAATGATTTTCCAAATGGCTTACCTGTTTTTCCCCCTCATATTAAAACTAGTAACTTTTAACTATTATTTCTTTTCTTTTTTTGGTACCGGGGATTGAACTCACAACCTCACACTTGCCAGGCAGAAGCTTATGCCACTGAGCTAAATCCCCAGCCCTTTCATTATTATTTCTAAGCATGAATAATACACTCTGCAAAGCTCATGACCCCAGCCAGATTCAGTACCTGTGACAAGGAGACAGACTCACCTTTCTCCTGGGCCATCTCTTGCAGACAGAAGTAGATGACTCTGGCTCCCAGGCTGAAGCCAACCAAGGTGACAGGTCGCTGGCCCTGGTGGGAGGGGGGGAAAGACACAGGTGTCTGGAGGGGACATAGTCAGTTCCCTCACGCCATCAGCCTGGTACATCCTTCAGTGCCAGCTCGTGCGTGGGCCAGATCACGCATGTGCCACTCTGGTCCCCAGCTCTGAGGTTTTCATCAGCAGCCAGGACTCTCATTTATGCAGAAGTGCACGTGCCATTCCGATCTGCTTCCTCCGAGGCCACCAGGCAGCCTCGGGCTGGGTTAATTCCCTTTCATCTCCAATCATTATCAGCCACAGCCCCTTCTTCCCTGGAGACGGGAACAGTCAATTACAAGGGCTCCTTCCCTTGGACTCCCCTGCCTGCGGCAGATGACTGCAGTGACGTGGGACCCCTCTGGGGGTGGGGAGATTAGACAGAAGGTACCCTCGTGTGTGATGGGTTAAAATGCAAGGAGTGATGGGGGTGCGGCTGTTCTGTTTCTAGAGAGGAAGGTGGGACATCAAATATTGGCTCTAAATGATAAGGTAGTGAGGCAGAGATTAAAAGGAATCGTCGATCTGTAGAAAAGGAGGGTTATCAGCAGACGGCTCTAAAGAAAAAGAAAGCTGTCTGCGCTCCCTGGATGCCAGTTCCATATGGAAGGAGAGGCGGGTGCCGGTGAGCTCTTGGAGGGTACTCTGGGGTACCGGTCTCCTCCCTTTCTTGTTTTTCCGTCATTCCCTCTGCAATCCATCTCCTCTGCTCCAGTTACTACATAACAGAAAGTCCTCCACCCTGCAGAACCTTGTGGCAAAAACTGCCAATCATGTCCAGATATCCTTTCTTCCCTCCATCCTTGGGTGTTAGAACTACTAAGCTTCCCTGGGCACTCCACGACCCAGACAAGGACAGTTTTTGCCTTTGTACCTAGGGATGGCAGAGGACCGAGACCTCACGAAGGGACTGAAGACAAGAGGCAGCTGTGACTTCTATTCCACTTCCCTTCAATTCCACTTCAATTCCACTTCCCTTCTTCTGAAAGTCTGGGGAGCGTGTGCAAACCATGGAAAGAACCAAATGTACAGGATGAAAGGCCACCAGATGAAGGAGTCGGGGTCCTGTGGGGGGCAGAATAATGGCCTCTGCCAGGATGTCCACCCTCGGAACCTGCAAATGAAACCTTCTATGGAAGATGTGCTTTACAGATAAGATCAACTTCAAGGATCTTGCGATGGCAAGATGATCCTGGATTGCCTTGATGGACCCGCTGCGATCACAGGCGTCCTCATAAGAGGGATGCAGAAGAAGTGAGTTGGACAGAAGGCAGGGAGGCCAGGGAAGCAGAGGGACAGAGCTGAAGATGCTGCTCATGCTGCTGGCTTTGAAGATGCGGGAGGGGGCTACCAGGCAAAGGATGAAGGAGGCCTCGGGAAGCTGGGGAATGGATGCTCCTGGGGCATCCACTAGGCAAACAGCCCTGAGGGTACATTTTGGACCGCTGTCCTTCAGAGCTGTGAGATAACAGCACTGGGGCACAATGATATGATTAGTAAAGGTACGGTTACAGAATAACAAACGTACAGACATGTTATAGCAGTTAAAATCAAATAGTGGCCTCTGCCCATGCTCCTACTGCTTTGCCATGTAAACACCCTGCTGAATTCAGTCAGCCTTGACTGTCTGGGTCCAGCTGCTTTTCTTCTGATAATGCACTGGGCCAGTTGGACAATTCTCAGCTTATGTTTCCCTTAATTAAGAAAATGTATTGCTTCTAACTGGCTTCAAGAACATTGGCTGGGGCAAAGTAACCCAGGCTAAGATACTTTTTAACTCTGTTTGCTCCACTTGAACTCCCTTCCCTCATCTCCAGGATGTCCCTATGTTATGATAAACAATTCTCAATATATGACTTAATTCAATCCACGCAACCAATCATGTGATGCCTTGTGCTTCCTGCTTGTACACTGTATTTAAACTAAACCCCAAACAGCCTCAGTGCTGGTGATTTGGACTTGGTCCCACAACCCCGCTGGTATAATGTCTTCTAGATTCCTCAGTGCAGAGTCTTCCATCCGGTTTGATACTGGTTTTTCTGTAACAATACCAGCATTCTCGGTGGGTTGCTCCAATAGGAAATGAATTCATCACCTTGCCTTGGATGCTCACATCGAGGCTGTTACTGGGGGAGAATAAGTTCCACCTTCTCCAGCCAGTGCCGCTCTGGTATTTCCTTACAGCCAAACCCACCAAAGAACTTCTTCCTCTTCATCTCTCTCTCCCTCTCCTCCTTCTCCTTTTTTTTTTTGCAAAGCTCCCTATGCAGGACTTCGAAGCAGTTATCAGTTCCTTGGCGGATTCACCCACAGCAGGAGAAACTGCCAGCTGCCTCTGGATGTCTGCAGAGCCTTTTGTGCATGGTAATTGAATTTCAGCTGGCTTGACTGCCACTCAGAATAAAGGCCATATCTCCCATGGAGGGAACCAAATGTACAGGATGAAAGGCCACCAGATGAAGGAGTCGGGGCCCCGTGGAGGGCAGAATAACGGCGTCTGCCAGGATGTCCACCCTCGGAACCTGCAAATGAAACCTTCTATGGAAGATGTGCTTTGGTGACTGGGCTCTGGCCAAGGGACAGACACGCTCTGGGCCTTTGCTTGCTCCTTTGGCTCTTCCTTTCTCCTGCTGCCTGGAACTGAGCTGCTGCCATCCTGGACCAGGAGATTAAAAACCATTTTTCTAGGAAAACTAAACTGCTACCTTGTTGAAGTCACTGTTATATGGGTTTTTCTCACTTTCAGCCCAAAGCAATCCCAACAACACAGCCAACTCTGTTACCACCTCTCACATGTTCACCTCCATTTACTCAGGCTTACTTATTTATTATTTATTCACCACGGCATACTGAACTCAGGGCTTTTGCACCGAGCTACATCCCCAGCCCCTTTTAATTAGTTTTTTTCATTTTGAGACGGGGTCTTGCTACATCACTATGTTACCCAGACTGAGCTTGAACTTGCAATCCTCCTGCCTCAGCCTCCCAGAGTGCTGGGATTCTAGGTATGCACCAAACTTATTTTGAAGGAGATAGTTTTTATTTACTTTGTAACTCTCCCTTTACCAGATTCAGACTTTTAAAATATGATGAAGATTTCTCTTCCTAGCCATTTTCCGAATCTCTAGACCACTGAAGATGACTGCTTCACATGTCTAGGAAGAAACACCTGGCCCCTGAGTGTGGGAAGCCATCAGAGGTATCTATGTGGTGTCCTATGCCGTGCTGGCTTCACTGCTGATTGAATCAGACGCTTTCATTAAAACCTTGCCCAATGCACTCAGCTATTGCTAAACTTTTTTTTTTTTTTTGGTGTGGGTGATTGAACCCAGGGTCTGTGCTGTTAGTTTAGGGCTCTATCACTGAGCCCCACCCATAGCCTTTTTAATCTTTTTTTTTTTTCTTTTGGAGACAGGGTCTTGCTGTATAGTCCAAGCTGGCTTGAACTCACTTGGTAGCCCAGCCTGGCTTTGAGCTCAAGGCAATCCTTTTGCCTCAGCCTCCTGAGTGCTGGGATTACAGGCATATGCCACATGCCAAGCCTTAATTTTTACTTTGAAATAGGTTTTACCAAGCTGACCAGGCCGGCCTTGAACTTACAATCCTTCTGTCTCAGCCTTCTGAGAAGATGGGATTACAGGTGTACACCATGCCAAACTCTTTCGTTGAAGTCATTTTCATTTTTTTCCAAGTCCTGCCAGCCTTGGCCAAGCTGCAGATGGCCCTGTGTTTAGGCTTCCTCTGATTACCACCTAGAGATGTGTGGTCTGTAATTCTCACTGGTGCATCCTAGGCGTTCTGCATGGCTTCCCCTGGCGGGCAGAGACAAACACCTACCGCAGGAAAGTCCCCAGACTCCTTCTAAGTGGCCCTGCTGGTAGGACTTCTGTGCTTGCAGGAGTCAGGCCCTCGCTTCACCTCCCAGCCTCCCCCACAGCCATGCCCAGTACCTGCTGCCTTGAGAGCAGGATGTGGGCCAGGTGCTTGCCAACCTCCGCTGACCGATGGAGACACACACCCCAGGGGTTGTCGATGACGTTGGCAACACTGAGGAGCGAGGCGGGCCAGGTCAGGGCGGCCACGATGCCTAGAGAGGTGGAACATGAGTGATGAAGGGGGGTCTTTCTAGGGAGGTGAGCGCAAGCATGCGCATCTATACATCTGTGTATCCCAAGTGTTGCCAAACTTCCCCATTACGATGGGTTCACCTGCTGACTCCAGGAGGAGACATATACAGCACAGCCAAGTTTCTCTGGCTGCCCAGGTAAGGCTAGCTACTGCCCCTCAACAACCACCTGACCCATAGATCCACAATCATCCCTGCTGAGACTAGCCTGCTCCAGCCTCTCCACTCCTGAGCCACTGTAACAAATTTATTGTTCTAGGCTACTGAGTTTGGGGGCAGCTTGTCATGCAGCAGTAGCCAACAGATACACTATGTGATTGGCTGCTGACTTGTCTCTTCTCCCAAAGACCACAGCCCTCTCACAGAATGAGGACATGGTCTCCATCTCCCGCTTGGTGCCTGGCTTCTTGGGGGCCATGGGCATGCAAGGATGAGGTACCACTGTGCTGCTGGGGGCAGGGAGGAAGGCTTACCAGACAGCACGGTGTACTTGAGAGCCTCCTGGGCCACCATGTTGGCAAGGCCACTGAGGATGGTCTCTAGGGCATTGCCGAGCTCCATCAGGTACTTGGCTTCCCAGGCCAGGCAATACTGTTCCCGGCTGTGGGCCAGGGCAGTCCATGGGGCACTGAAGGTGCCTAGGAAGAAGACACGTAGGTGGCATTTATGGTAGCGAATGCCCCCCTCACTGCACCAGACAGGCAGTGATGGGGGGCTGCTCAAACAAGTGCAGAAGACGAGAGGCACTGGCAGAGGGGAGCACCCTGTTACCCCATGGCTCAACCCCTACTCCTGCCTCACGAGTAGCTAGCAAGGTGACCTTGGGAACATCACTATCTACAATGACCCGGAGCCTCACCTGGCTCATGTGTGAAGTGGGGTGATTACAATCCATCCCCCTAGGGTAGTTGTGAGAATGGAGCATGTGGACTATTCTGTGTATGAAGCCTGAATTCTGGTATTAAGCTGCTGACATCAGATGGACACAAGAGCATGGCTCTGGTTCTATAGCATGGCAAATGCTGATCTGAGCCTCGGTTTCCTTGCCTGGGAAATGGACCTGAAAAATGATGATGTAGGAGGAAAGATGACACAACAGTGCCACAGCAGCCAGCATCAAGCAGAAAAGCATAACCAAGCTTGCCTGTCCCACTGCTCCTCTCATGGCTGCCCGCTGCCTTCAGGATGTGGGCACAGAGGGACACCCAGTCCGGCCCTTATTGGTTTCTGCCTGTGGCCCGGGGGACCTTTTCAGGACACAAACCTCCTCCCTGCCTCCAACCTTCACTAACCCCCGAGGCTCACATTAGCCACTTGGCCTGGACTTCCTGTCTGACTGCCTCTCTGCCCAGGAAAGCCTTCCTCGCCCCTCTGACAGATCAAAGGGGCCTGCACTGCACCAGTAAATTTGCACCACATCCTGCATTTGTTTTTTGTTTCCTGTCTCAGATGTACACCTCTTGCCTCTTCTACAGCCTGCGGGAACAAGCAGCACGCTCCCAAGCCAGGCGATGGGTGCAGGGTAAATGCCCAGAAAAGCAGCGTCAACGAAGGAAAGCACAAGCCGGCTCCCCAGAGCCTGCAGGTTCTGAACATCAGCTTCCCATCCCTGCCTTCCTGAGCCCAAGGCCTCGCCCTGACTTGCAGGACACAGAGATGGCCCCATAGGTGCTCCCTCCCTTCCCAAAGGCTCTGGCTCTGCAACAACTCAGGAGTCTCTAGTCTCTAAGGACAAAGGGGCCGTCATCTTGAGAAAAGCGGCAGGTGCGGCCGGCAGGGGGCGCACAGCCTCGATGTGTTGCAGTGCTCAACCCTCACCGGTGCACGAGGCCCTGCTGAACCTCAGGGTCTAGGTGGGGTGAGAATGGACTCATTCTCACAGATGTTTCCGGAGATTGTGGGGAGACTGGGTGAAAAGTGTCAGATGAACCCTGAAGTGTGTGTTGACTGCGCTGTGCCGTGCTCAGTGGCCACGAGCACGGCCGGGGAACCAGCAGACACAAGAGGGCTGCATCTTGCCGGGCTCCTTAGTAGCTGTGTAAACAACCCCGGAACCCTTCTGAGCCTTGGTGCTCTCTTCTGTAAGGTGGGGGTGCAGGGTCAGCGGCACAAGCATGTGCTTGGCAACCATGAAGTCCAGAGTTTGATCCTTGTTAAAAAAAAAAAAAAAAGCTTGCCACTTTGGCTTGAAGTTGGAAGCAAAGGAGGCAGAGCCTGCACAATGCTGGGGTTAGTCCTGGGCTCCAGGTGGGTGCTTAGCTACAAAGCCACTGTCACTAATATACACATCATGATTAATAAGCAAGTGAGCCGAGGAAAGGTTACTGATTCCCATCACGTGCAAGCAAGTCTATGAGGCTGATGAGGCTTTGGCAGACAGAAAGGGGTGATTTTTCCTTCCTGATCCATCTTTATTTGGTTGTATTTCATTTAATTACTCCTCTGCCTGTACTACACGCTTGAATGAGACACAATAAAAATGGTTTCCTTTCCCCAAAGTGACCTTGGCCTTTGACCTGGCAAAGAGGGGCCAAAATAAAGCCAAGGGATGTGGTGTCCCTGCTGGTCAGAACATCAAACTCCTTTAGATTTTTGCTCACATTCCTTCCCTCCTACATCATGATGAAGAGAAAAACAGACTACAAAAACCCTCAGCTATGGGTCAGAAGAGCTGGGTTTGAATCCTGCACCTGCCGCCTGACCCTTCTGCTCCCTTGTCTGACAGATCAAGATAAGAACAGTGTCCAACTTGACGGTGGAGGTGAGGGTGACACGAGGGATGGACATCATGTTCCGATTATGCCGGTGAAATGCCTGACTCCAGGTGGCACGATCCAGGTGCTTTATTAATATGAGACCGTGGGGTGGGGACTGGCAGTCGTACACCACTAAGACTGGAACATGGTGACACCTTCACCCTTTACTCACCCGCTTTCTTCTGTGTCAGTTACAACAGCTGTGGGCCCCCCCCTGCTTGGACCTCAGAGACTTGGGAACCCAGAAGCTCCCTGGCCTGCCCTGCCTTCTTACTAAGCCATGTCTATTTGCTCAGCCTTGTGCTGGACATGTGCAAAGGGTCAGGCGGTGAGTGGACCAGGGTGTAAGTCCCCCCAGCCACCCTGGTTAGGAGCCCCCAGAGCACGCAGGAAGGGGCACTGATGTTTAGAAAATGCCAGCCAGAAACCAAGCGTCTGCCACAAGTTGTCTAGCTTAGTGTGATCTTGGTAGCAACTCTAGAAGGCAGGAATCATCTGTTGCACTTGAATGAAGTTATCGAGGCTGGGGAAGTTAAGTAACTTGCTTGAAGTCACATGGTCACAGCAGACTGATCTCTCATCCATGCACTTAAAACCCTTTGCTACCTTCCACTTACTCTGAGGACAAATTCAAACCACAACTCACATGCTCCTGCATGCTGTGACTTTGCCCACAATCCTGCTTTCTGGCTGTCCTGTGCTCTTTTTGGTTCTTTAGTATGCTGTACCTTGTGTGTGCTGCCCCTTTTGGTTGTATACAAATTTTTTTTCTTCTTTTTTACCTGGATAACTTCAAGCCAGCCCTCAGTGTAAACACCACTTCCTATAGGAGCCTTCCCCAGAAACACCCTCTGTTTCTCCTTTTGTGTCCCCCATGGAGGCTCCCTGTGATTCCTTGGTCTGCCTTGTATCTCTCATGTTCTATGGGAGAGAAGCCATGTATCCACTGCCCACCACTGAATTCCTGGAGCCTGGCTTTCTGTACAATATGTTACGAATTTGGTTTGCTGGGTAGATGATGAATGGATGGATGGAAGGATGGATGAATGGTACATGCAGCAATGGATGGAGGGGTGGGTAGATGAGTAGATGGGTGAGTGGAGATTCTAAAAATTTGTTGGCTGGCTGGCTGGCTGGGTGAATAGGTAGATGCATGGAGGGATGGAGGGATGGATGGATGGATGGATGGATGGATGGATGGATGGATGGATAAGTGGATGAGTGAGTGCATATTCTATAAATATTGCTTGCTGGCTACCTGGGTCGATGAATGGATGGATAGATTAATGAGTAAGTGGGTAGGTAGGTGGATGGATATGGATGGTCACTTCTCTGAGCCCCAGTTTCTGCCTTTGCAAAATGGGGCTCCCCAACCCCACCTCTGACCTAGCCAGGCCTGACTGGCAGCTGAAGGCCCCGCGCCGCCAGTGCCCACCCCACTGCCTCCCGCTCTGGTCCTTACGGTATCTGCCAGACGCGAGCCATCCAGTGATGGCGATGGTGATGTGCAGCTGCCTGCCCTCCGTCAGAGGAAGGAACGTGAACTCCTCAATGGCCCCGACCCGCTTCTTCATCTTGTACCCTAGAGGCCCCAACATGAGAATGAGAATGAGAGCTGGGGTGGGGCAGGGCAATGACCGTGTGCCCTGCCCTGGCAACAACGCGTGCTGTTTGTGGATTCTCTAAAGCAAGTGGCATCACTGTACCCGACTGCAGAGGCGGGTAAACAGCTGCGGAGGGGCAGACAGGGACCTGCGTTCAGGCTCTCTCTACTGCCCTGTCCTGACTTGGCTGCATCTTTTTCATGCCTGTCCTTCAGCGTGTGACCCATGGCCTTAGTGGGAGTGGACTGAACCAGCCAGGGCCCTCAGCAGGGGAGCAGGAGGGGGTTTCTGTGTGACCAGGGGCTATAGACAGATGAGCTGGTCAATGAAGGGGAGCCATGCTCAGTCTGACCATGAGGAAGCACACGCATCTCTGGGGTGCTTGCCTGGGAACCCACTGTGTTGGCAGCTGGTTTACTTGGACACTTTGTAGGGAAGTGGCCCAGGGCACATGGGGTGTGGGGAGCACATTTCCCAAACTCAGCCTGTGCTGAGCTACCAGCCTGGTTCTCCGTGAACCTGGGCATGGCGGGACTCAGGGAATGCAGAGCCAGGGGAACACCTGGGTGTGTCCTTTAGGGTGGGCCATGCTGGTCCATTCCACCCCCAATCCCTTTTAAACTTTACCTGTAAGGCCTGCTCCAGCTGCACCAAACAGCGAGGTCATGACAGCTATGCCAGCCGCTGAGCCCAGGGCCGCTGCCCCAGCACTGCCAATGACTGTCGCAGCTCCGGCGGCCACCAGGGGGGCTGCGAGACCCCCAGTCACACCTGCAGGGAAAGCAGCCCTTGGCAAGTGAAGGTGAGTTTTTTCCCACCAGCTACCCACTGCTTCCATGGAAGCTCCTATTAATGATAAAAGCTGTATTTATTATTGATCAGGCACCTGCCACCTGCTGGGGCCACCTCCCAGCCAACCCCTGTGCAATCTCTTCACCCAAATCCGGCTGTCCCTCATTCTGCGTGGTCCCAGCCCACAGGCCATCATGCCCAGCTTGCTTTACCAATCACTGTCCCGCCTCCGACGGTTGCCAGGCCTATCAGGAGATAACGCTTCCACTTCCTCCGGTTTTCTTTCTTCTTCCGGGAAGCCTCAGCGGTTCTGGAAGACAAGAGGTTGGTCTTTCCATGCTGGGATCTCCCGAGACCTCCCATCTCACCAACCCCTACCCCAAGGTCGATGGCAGGCTGGAACACTCACATAGAGTAAGCTACCAAAGTTGCCCTGGGCACATTGATGGTTTTAAAAACCTGAAAATATTCCAAAACCCAGCTGGGGAATCTCGATGTATGGGGTACACCACTTACCCGGTGGATCCATCCTAACAAGGTTGCAATTTGAATAATAAAAAGACAAAAAAGAATAATAATAACAAGAAAAGCACAGAAAATATCTTTTAGAAAATGGACCCAGAATGACTATAAAATAGAATCCCAGATTCGATTGCCTCCCTCCCTTTCCCCGGCCCCCCACTTTGCCATTGGACCCCTCCTTCTCTACGGGCGTGGAAACTAGCTCCCTTCAGATGAATCACTTCACAGATTGGCTTGAGAAATAACTACATGGGAGACCTTGGTTTGGTTGGAGCAACAGCAAGACACATTCAGACCGAAAACAGAAATGGTACAAAATCTAGAAAAGGAGCACATTCAGTGAACCCGGGCCAGGGGCATGCATCCTGAGAACAGCCTGAAGTCAGGACACCCCATTTCCATGTGAGACTTAAATTAATCTCAGACACTAGGGCGATCAGAAGCAAGAGAGGCAGCGGCGGGCCCCAGCCATCGGACATGGGACTCTGAACCGAAGCTGGAGTTTAGACGACTGGATGCAGAGTGATGGGGGGTGTGCGGGTGATGAAGGGAAATGGTTACTCTTTAGCTAGGGCTTCCTAACACCAGCCATGTGCTCTGTGCTTCCCACGCCTCCTTTATCTCATCCTAAGGTAAAGTTTCATTGTTGTCCCAGGTGCACCAGGAGGTAACAGAGGTTCCTGCCTGAGAGATCACTGGCCTTGAGGGAGAGAATACTTGTGAGCGTTGGGTGAAACAGTGGCTGTGCTCATAAAACTGTATCATCCTGAGCCCTCATCTCCTCTTTTCTAAAATGGAACAGTAAGGTCTCCCTCATAAGACAGTTGCTTTGCAGAGATTAAATTAATTCCTGCTCTGTCTGTTCAATCAATAAGCACTCCCTTTGATGGTACTGGGGATTGAACCCAGGGCCTTTGCACTCAGCTAAATCTCGTCTTTTCCTTCCTTTCCTCCACCTCCTCACTATTCTTCTACCAAGCTACATTCCGAGCCCCCCTTTACTTTTTCCTTTCCTCCTCTTCCTCCTCCTTTCCCTCCCTTCTTCTCTCCCTCTCTTCCTTTTTTTCTTACCATCCACACTAGGGATGTAACCTAGACTATCACTGAGCCACATTTCTAGCCATTTGTATTTTGAGTCAGGGGCTTGCTAAGTTGCCCCGGCTGGGTTTAAACTTTCGATCCTCCTGTTTCAGCTGCCCCGAGTGCTAGGTTAACAGCCCTGCACGGCCATGCAGAGCTCAATCAATAAGCTTTTCCCATGAATGCACACTGTGCTGGCACTTTTGGTGCTGCGCCTGTGAGTAGCAGGTAGCCATGAGCAGAAAACCTATGTCCTCAGCACACATGTGATTCCTTCCTTACAGATCACACCAAGAAAGGGTTCTGAGTTTGGGGAGCTGCCACATTCTGTGACTCTCTGCCAGTTCACCTTGACAATTTTCTCCTGGGCAGCTCCTGGTCTAAAGCTCCTGGTTGCTTCAGTGCAGAGCAGCAGAAACCAGCAATGAGCACTGCTTATCTGTAACTGAATTTTCTTCAGTGCTGGGGATGGAACCCAGGGCTTCATGCATGCTCGACAAGGGCTCTGCCACCGAGCTGCATCCCCAGCGCCCGCGATTGAAATGGATGCTCTCAGCACATGGGATGAGGAGAAACTTGCACGGATCAGCTGACTGCGGGGAGGGTAACGGCAGAAGTGAGGGGCCTGAGGTCAGGACTTAGTCTGCAAAGGCAGGCTTAATTCTGATTTCTGCCATGGTACAATTGGGCCACCATTCACCAAATATCCACCTACCCCTCCCTATGGGAAGAGTATACAGTGATCCCTCCATATCTGTGGGTTGGTTCTAGGGTTTCCCATGGATACCAAAATCTGTGGGCATTCAACTCCCCTATCTGAAATGGTGCAGAATTTGCTAATAACCTATACATAACATCCTATGGCCTTTAAATTATCTCTAGGTTACCGATAAACCCTAATGCAATGCAAATCGTTATACTGTAATGTTTGGAGGATAATGACAAGGAAAAAAAATACTACCCATGTTCAATAAAGATCCAGTTATTTAAAAAAATTCAAGGGCTGGGGATTTAACTCAGTGGCATAAGAACCTGCCTTGCAACCAGGCGGTCATGAGTTCAATCCCCGGTACTGATAAAAAAAAAAAAAAAAAAAAAAAAAAAAAAAAAAAAATCAGTCTGCGGCTGGTTGGTTAGATATGAGGCTGCAGAACCTGTGGATATGGAGGAGCACTGCGCATCCTCGCCCTCGTGAGCTGACTGGTCATGTGACCGGCTTTAGCCAATGAAAAGCAAGTGGAAGTGACGTCGTTTACGGCAGAACCTTTAACAGCTGGTGCAAATCTTGTCTCCTGTGTGACCAGGGACCAGCAACATCTAGACAGGAGTCACCCTGTCCAGCTGGAACCCACAATCAAAATAGTATGGATGGGAGTCAGCCAATCTGCAATGGATAGATTACGGGATGAACAAGAAATAAAGCTCTAGGGGCTGGGTATTTAGCTCAGCGGCATAAGCGCCTGCCTTGTAAAGCAGGCAGTCGTGAGTTCGATCCCTGGTACCGATAAAAAGGAAAAAGACAAAAAAAAAAAAAAAAAAAAAAAAAAAAAAAAAGAAATAAAGCTCTGCTGTGGGGGCCACTGAGATTTGGGGGTCCTTTGTCACAGCAGCAAGCTTTACCAATCTTTGGAACCGTCTACAGCTTTTGACTGTGCACAGCTACTCGTCACATCTGGGTTTCTTCATCCAGCAAATGATGATAATAATCATTTGCAATTCCAAAGAACTCAATGAGAAAGAAAAGAGATGATTCATACGACTGGCATATTGTAATCGTGGAATATGGAATCATCCTTTTCATGATTACAATAATTTCCTACTAAATAGTAGCTGGCAATATACTTTGACCCTTAATTGCTTTGCTCCTTAATTGATCTTTAATTCGGTTCAAACAAAGAGGCTGGAAATTATTGGCTTTCTGCACGGTTCAAGGACAAAGAAAAAAAAATGCACGTCGACAACACACAACAGAAGCACGTAAAGCGACCAGCAGCGGCACCTTGATTCAACAAACCCTGAGTGGGAAATAGCTGGAAACTGGGTGAAAGGGGCTGGAGACGGCTCTGCTGGGTTACCTGATTTTTTGACTCCTGATTTCCTCACCTAGGAAAAGAAAATGGAAAATGACTCTGTGAGACAGTGGTGCCCCGGCAGCCAATGTCAAGCGGGAGAGTGTAACCATGCCTGTCTGCCTGCTCGCCTCCTTTCGGATAGTGTCACCTCCCTGTCATGACACTCAGGACCTCCGTGTCCCCGCCCGTTTCCTTCTCCAGCTTTATCTCTGATCACTTCCTAACTTGTGGACACACAGAGTCTCACATGCACACTGTCTCATGCCTGTGCCCCTCCTGGCCTAGGTGCCCAAGGACCTTCTTCCTGCTCGCGTATAGCTTGACATGATGTCTGCTTTAAGAGTTAGCTGATGTGTTACCGCCCACCAGAAGCCGGCTTCGAGCCCCACGGTTACCTAAATGCCCTGACTCCGAACACATCAAATCCTTGTACTATATTATCCTGAGACTCTAGTCCAGCGATTTTCAAAGGGTGGGCTTCACTGGGGTGTATGTTGGAGTGAGAGTAAGGGATGTGTATTTGTAATATGTCCAGGGATTCTGTGGTATCCCAAGGTCAAAAATTGCTAGCCTGCACTGTCAGAGAACAGGCCAAGCCATTTACAGTTCTCTACCCTCTGCAGCTCTGCACCCTGGAGACGCTCAAGAAATGTGTTTTGAATAGAACTCAATTATTCCAACAAAGACTGAGGGTGGCCACTGTACTGCAGTGACACAATTCTCCATGTGCCATGAAAACCAGAGGGGCACAGAAAGGATATTTTGGCTAAACAAAAATATGTAGGCAGAGTATAGGACACTTGCCATCCAAATAGAAATTTCTGAGATAATAGGACCAATCTGAAATGTCAGAGACTTTTCATGATTAATACAGATTTATTATTAAACATCTAATCAAATTCCTGAGTTAGTGCCCTTGACATTTCTGGGCACTGTCTGCTTTCAGATTGTTCGTACAGTGACATCTGCCATCTAAGATACCTGACAGTCAGCTGGTATCTTTTCACTGAGTTTGATGGATGCAAAGATTATGGCCTAAAGTGAATAAAGCAACTAAAAAAATAAATACTGTATGAGCCTTGAAGGGTGTGTGATTTAAATGCATGAATTCTAGTTTATTAAATCAACTTCACAAAGATGAGATGGATGGTATGCTCTCTCATTGCTTTTAGTATTAGTTTTTAAAAATTTATTTTGAAGTGCTGGGGGTGGAACCCAGTAATTTGCACATGCCAGGCAAGTCCTCTACCATTGAGCTATATCCCTAGCCCTCTAATATTCTGCTTGTATTATTACTAAATGTTTATAAACATTTGTTGATTTGAAAAGAAGGCACTTTTTCCCACAGGTACTTAGCCAAGGCACTGTGCCCCGATATTCACCCAAACAGCTCATCTATTTCTCTATTTATATAAGACTGCACATTCTTAGTAATTGTTTTCTACATAACATGAATAGATTTCCCAGACGCTGTTAATTATCACAGCGTTTTTCTCTTGCAATTACTTCAGCTGATTGAATTGCACCTCTAACGCCCAGGAGGCGTGGGCTCTGAGTCACATCTAGAAGGCTCCTCTTTTTTCTCAGAAGCACGGATTTAGATAATTCTGAACGCAAATGACAGCTCTGTCCCTGCTACAGACTTTGCTCTCTCGTTAGACACGGTGGCAACTCGTAGCATCCTATGACTGCACTCTGGAATGCCAGAGACAAAGTGGAATTGACGCTCCACCTCGGCTACAGACAGTGGCAGAGGCTACACTGTGGATTTGGGTCAGATCCCAAGCTGAGGCCAAAGATACCCCAAGAATAAAACAATTCTGCCTGCATTGCGGGGCCACAAGAGTTTTTATTCACTGCCATCCGTCTCCAGTGAGAATCCCTGCTGTCCTGACGATCACCTGCTGGTTTGTTTTCTCTCTGCATCACTGGCCACAGGACTCAGCTTCATGTGCACGATGCAAGCACTCTGCCCTAAGCTTAAAAACTTAAAAACAATTTTTTGTTGTTGTTGTTAACAAACATGGTGAGCTGGTTTCTGAGGTCTATAGATGCTTTCTTAGGCAAAGCTCAGATGAACCCAGAATTTCCTTTACTGCCTTCTTCTGAGTTAAGGAGGAAACCTGAGATTGTCAACCAGACCTTGAGGGATTCAGTAAATGACATCCAGACTGGACATGGTAGCTGAATCATGATGCCACTGACCAGTGGTGTGACACGGATGAGTAACATCACCGGTCTGACTTGTTTTATCTATGAACTCCCCAGTGGATGGTTATGAGCATCAAAGATGGTGGCTTGTGCCTGCACCCAGAAGCAGTCAGTGAAAGCTGGATGGTAACCATGTTTCTTGGAGGCAGGCAGTGTCTACTCCAGCAGTCCCCTGGGTAATACTTACTGCTGTGTGCCAGGTGTGATGCCAAGGTTTGATGCACGTTAGTCTAACCCTCTCCACAGCCCTCTCATGTGGATGCGAACATCACCCCCAGGTTAGGGATGAAGACCCTGAAGCACAGACAGGCACAGGCACGCAACAGGTGAGAGAGGCTTGGAAAGCCTCAGGGCTCAGATGGCGACCCAGAAAGTTAGGGTGACACATCATACTTGAGATCCCACTGCAAAGAAGTGCCTCAGATAAGCTCACCTCCTAGAACATGAGACCTTAGAGTTAAAAGAAATTCACGTATAATTGATCTTCTAATTGCATAGGTGAAAAAAATTGGTGCTGGTGCCCAGAGAGGGCAAGCAACCTATGCAAGGCCACACAGAGGGTTAGTAGCAGAATCAAAGTAAGAATCAGGTTTCCAGATTGCACGGTTGCTATGCTTCCTCTGGGTTTCTGACCCTGCTGAAGACCATAGATAGAATCTGAGTCTCTAGAGTCCTTAAAACTAGATATTTTTCTGGGGAAACCATTCATATGTGCCAACACAATTATATTAATGCTGTTAACAATAACAAATAATAATATAGAGTAATTAATCTGTCCCAGGTACACTTGTAGCACTTTACATGCATGAACTCATTTCAACCCATAAGGACCCTAACAGAAATACTATTATTATCCTATTTTGCAGGTAAGGAAACTGAGGCCCAGGAAAGTTAATTTGCCCAAGATCACCCCCTTGGTAAAACAGCAGAGCCAGGTTTTGTTAAAACTTCTACCTTACATCTGCCTTGATCCAGGATTACTGATATTATCAAAAATTCTTCTAGGCAACACATTTCTTCTGCTAAAAAGACTTCCAAATAGTAACAGAGTTTCCTTAATTTCAAAATATAAGACTCTATGAATTTTCAAGACTTGGGCAGCCCTTGGGGGCTGGAGGTAATTTGCTCTGATCCAGGTATTTCTTCATTGACACAGCTCTGGGATTCAAAGCAGGAATGTTTTCAGGTTATTTCAACAAAGGTAATGCTTTTGCCTTTGTGGCAAGAAGCCCTGGTGGCAGGAGGACAGCTCTAGGTCTCAAGTTGGCTTTGGGATTACGTTTTAAGCTGGGCTGAAGTGATGTAACCCAGCCGATCAAAGGAAGCTATCACTGATTGACAAAACCCAAATGTGCTTGGTGCCAGCAGCCCAAGATGAAGCTATGACTGGAACTGATTTATTGCACTGAGCTTCGACTCTGTAGAAGGTGCATTCAAAGAACGTGCTCAGGCCAATTACCAGGATAATTTCCCTCTACGTACTCTGGCCATACCCAACAGCAAAGCTGCTCTACAACTGACAGAGGAAGAGAAGATTTGCATCGCCTGAGAACTTGCCGCATCAGCCCTGAACTGATCATTTTATAATAGGATCCCTTTCCAGCCAGGTGTGGTCACACATATCTATAATCCCAGCTCTCTGGGAGGCTGAGACAGGAGGATCACAAGTTCAAGCCCAGGCTAGGCAATTTAGTCAGACTTTATCTTAAAAAAGGGCAGGGGGTATAGCTTAGTACAAAGGTCCCAAGTTTAATCCCCAGTGCCAAAAACCCAAAACCAAATACAACCTCTTTCCTTTCTCCTAATGACCCTGGCAAGGTGCTACCCTTATACCCATTTTGCAGATAGGAAGATTGCAGCTCTGAGGAAGCTCACACACCCACAGTCAAACCACTGATTCACAGCCCTTAGCAATTATCTATTCCCCCTTTCTTCTTGAAGATGAGAAGCCCAGAGAGGGCCAAGTGACTCATCAAGGTCACACAGTGAGTCAGGGCTGCAGATAAAATTCTCCATCCCACGTTCCTTCTGCCTCCCTATCCCATCTCTCAACTGGGAAGGACAGGCCCCTTATCTCCAAGTGGACACCCGTGGTTGCAGGGCCCTTACTCAGATTCCTCCTCTCTGGTTTCCTTCAGGCTTTCCAGGAATGTCTCTTCAAGAACATCCAGCTCCTCCAAGGGCACCTGGAGCAGGGAGGTGATATGGCAGACGAGGACTCTGGCCCGAGCATCATAGCGTCCTCAAAAAAGAAAAAGATGAGCAGAGAAATGAACTTGGTTTTTTTTTTTTTTTTTTTTTTCAGGGTGGTATGGCCGTAGAATCAACTTGGTTTTTAGGCAAAGAGATCTTCACAGCGGTGTAAATGACAAAAGCCCAAGGCTCAATCTTAACAAGAATCTAAAGACACAACCTTATGACCCAGTTGATAAAACAGTAGCACAACTTCCGGGTAGAATACTACGCAGCCATCAAACATGTTAACCAAAAGCCAGGTGGTATTTCTCACTAGTCAAATGAGCAAAGATCAGTTTGTCCAATTCCAGTACTGATAAGATGATAAACACGTACTCAAACATACCACTGGTGGGCGTATGCACTGGTACCAACTTCCTGGAGGGAAAAATTCAGCAATATGTGTCCACTTAAAAAAAAAAAAGTACATCCCCTTTGTCCCAAGGATTCTAGTTTTGAATTTTAATTTAAAAAATCTTTAATGGCGAAAACACTGTGCTTAGTAAACATGGCAATAGAATAAATAAAATCTGCTTTTGAATGTAAACTGGAATAATCTGGAGATTTCTAGTGTCAAGAATGCATTAAATCAGCTATGTGGATCTGTCCCATGGAAATTTATGGGCCTGTAATGAAATGATTACTAAGGAAAGTTTGCTGTAACTTTTGGAAAAATGCATACACAACGAAACAAATGTTAAAAGCGGGTTGAAGACTGATATGTTATAGGGTCCCAATGAAGGGAAACAAGATAAAAGGAAGCCTAACACTTCCTAGGAAAAATGAAGGAGATATGTCAGAGAGAGAGAGAGAGAGAGAGAGAGAGAGAGAGAGAGAGAGTATGTGTGTGGATTGAACCTGGGGCCTCTGCCCTGAGTTGTATCTTTAACCCTTTCTTTTTTCTTTTGAGACAGTCTATTGCTAAATTGTACACTGCCTAAGCTGGGTTCAAACTTGGCAGTCCTCCTGCCTCAGCCTCCTAGAGTGCAGGAATTATAGCCACGTATCACCATGCTAGCAAGAGTGGGTGATTTGTTTTTCTTTTTCAAAATTACCCACAGTGAGGTAGGCATGGTGGCGCACACCTGTAATCCCAGAACTTGGGGGACTGAGGCAGGAGGATCCTGACGAGTTCGAGGCCTGCCTGGCCTACAGAATGAGTTCAAGTCCAGTGTGCATTGCTTAGCAAAACCCTGTCTCAAAACAAACAAAACAAAACAAAACAAACCATAGTGAACTTTGAGCTCACTTTATAATTGTAAAAAATTAATCTATCAAAATGGAAACAAACTTTAATTACATAGCCCAGAGCTTGTAAAAATGTTAATACCTGGTTAGTAAGTGGGGTGGGGTGGGGGTTGGGGTGGGGCTGAAAGAGGATTTCTGTCCCCAGGCAGCACCACAATGGTCAGCATCCTAAGCAAGGTCCCCTTCATCTAAGACTGATTTCCATCAACTCCCTTCCGTGCGCCCTATGTGGCATAAGGGACTCTCTGGTCTCTCGGGTGACCTCAGACTACAACACCTCCCCATCACCCAAGCCAAGGGCAGGGGACCCCATCCTCTTCCCTCCCCCTACCATGCAGTGTCCTGGAGTCACTCAGATGGCGACAGCTCGCCTCCTCCCATCTCCAAAGCTCCCACATTAGCACCTGGGCTCCTGTTCAGAGCCTCTGCCAAGCCAGGCTGCATTGCCCCCACCACACTGCTGCCTGAAGAACTCAGTCCATGCCAGTAGCCTGGCACTGTGGGAATCAGCTGTCAGGGCTCCCACCCTTCCTCAGGACCACCCCTTTGCCCCGAGGCTCTCCAGCTGGACAGTCTCAGTTTTAAGTGTGTGTGTGTGTGTGTGTGTGTGTGTGTGTGTGTGTGTGATTCTATCACTTGGCTTTCCCTCCAAGATGAGGCTCAGCTGCCTCTGTAAATCCTCTCTGGGTCACTCCTTCCGTGGGGTCTCAGGTCCCTTACAGAAGACTCTCTCCTGATGTCTTCCACACGTGATTGTCCTTGTTTGTGTTTTACTTGGATGGACCACAAGCTCACCCACCTGGGCGTCCAACCCCAGCACCTGTCCATGGAAAGACACTCTCTAAAAGGTCAAAATGTGTACTTACGAATGAACAAACTTCTGATATTTATGACAATTTCTTTACGATTCAAGTGTTGAGTCTTTATGGCTTCCATACTTGATCTCTTTGATAAGGGAGAGGATTTGGCATATTTGACACCAACCTTCCTTGTGGGGGCGCTGTGCACACAGTAGGGGCTGAAAAACGCTAATTCCCAGATTACAGTTCCAGCTGCCCATCAATTAGCCTTACGCGCTGAGAAACTTCTCCAAAGTGAGGTTTCCTGAGCCCTGGCTTCGGGCAGCCCCCTTTCCCTTGGTATGTGTTTCTTGTTTAACATGACTTAGCCCCCAAAGTTTTAAGTTTCAGGTTTTAGCAGAAGAAACGAGGTCCTTCCTTGACCTAGGATCCTCAGAGGTGGCCATCTGTCACTTCTCAGGGTGCAGCCACATTTCCTGGACGCCCTTGGTCACCTCCCTGGATGGCTACGTGCTGAGGGACAGAGACAGACCATCGCACGTCGCATGTTGGGGTTAATGGGTGACTAAAACCTCCGCAGACAAAGCAGCTCCTTGTTGCTTTGAAGGAACAGAGGCTATTGTGCCCTGGTGATAATCAGGCGGCGCAGTCAAGGCTTGGTCATGATAAATAATGGGTGGTAATTATAATTAGTGCCATACACACTCCATCGGTCAAGGTTACAGTGATTCAGCTGCTAGAGCCCAGCTGCCAGGTGCACAGGTGATTAATATTCCCATGGTCAGGATGCTAGGCCCAGCCTCGTGTGAGGGTCAGTGGCCTTGGTGACTGGGCTGCTGGTTTCAGAGCTGGGCTTCTGTTTAAGGAATGTACATGGAGTCACAAATCCCATGCTACCCAGGCCATGAAAATTCTCTGGTCTCAGCTTCACCGCCAGCCTGCCAGGTGGCCAGCTCACTCCCCAGGGGCCCAGCTGTCCTGTCTCTATAACATGGGCCCATCCACCCGTCCACTGTGTGGCTCAGGCCAAAAGCCTGGGATTGCTCTTGTTTCTTCTGACATCCAATACCAGCCCATGGTGACAGCTGCATCTCCAAACTCCTACGTGGGCCTGAGCTCTTCACCCCATCTCTGCTGCCATCATGTGCCACCACCTGTCAGCCCCCAGCAGCCAGCCCACTGGCTCCTCATCCTTCATTCTGATACCTGTACCTCATCTGCCATGGAGAGTCTTTAAAGTCATCAATCTGTGCTTTCTCTTTGGTTTAGTTTTGTTTGTTTGTTTTTGGAGAAGAGTCTCACTTAGTAGTTCAGGCTGAGCTTGAACTCACCATGTATCCCAGGCTGGTCTCAAACTCACGGCAATCCTCCTGCCTCAGCCTCCCAAGTGCTGGGATTACAGATGTGTGCCACCTACCTGGTCCCTCTCCCCCTTGGTTTAATACAACTCTCCAACAGCTCCCCAAAACCCTTAGCATGGAATGCACATTTCTTTCCTCTGGTCTGCAAGACTACATCATCCGGCCTCTACTGGCTACCGCCTGTCCCTGCTTACGAACAGGGACATACCAGCACCTGTCCAAAGCCTAGCTCTCGGCTTGGGAAGCGACTCCTACAGAGCTCTGCTGGGCTGGCCCTGGCCCATCAGCCAGTCCTCAACTTAAATATCAACTCTGTGGCAAGGCTGGTGCCTCCTGAATTAGAGCATCCCCCCCATCACCCTTTCCCACCACTGCATTATGGATGTCATCGCTCATCTGTGCCAGTCATACGGGGCAGGATCCTTGATCTTGTTCTCTGCCACCTCCCAGTGCCTGAGCCGATGCCCCAGTTAGTAAGTGCACAGTTAGGGTGCGCTGGCTCATTTGCCCATCAAATTTCCCCCTTGCCTGCAGGGTCCCCCGTCATGCTCACTGCCCCAAGCAGCCCAAGCTCTTTCCTGCCTCCCACCTCTTCTGGGGACCCTCTGTTTTCAGGACCTGGGGATGTAGGGTCCGTGCTCCTCCTCTGGGTGGAACCTTCTCTTTCTGTAAGTGCCAGAGCTCTCTCACTGCCTGGAACTCTCTGAGACTTGCTCATGGCTCAGCCCCTTCCTCAAAGATCACCCCCTCTGGGAAGCCCTTTCTGGCCCTAAGCCACTGCGTTCTGTCCCCTCACCATTAGGGGTTTCTTCTCATCACCATTTCAAACTACACTGTTTTATTTGCTGACTTGTTTATGGTTTACGCTCTTGAACCTAAGTTCCAAACTTACTTGTCTCCCCTGCACCTAGGTCAGTGCCTAAAAACAAGACCGGGTTTAGTGTGTTTGCAGGACTGGAGGATGAAGTAGGGAATGAATAAATAAAGGAGTAACTGGATGAACAAATCTCTGTTGGGAGAGGACCAAAGTATGGAGGCTGGTGATGCTGACGGAGTGTCACACCCCCTTCCGGTAGAAACATCCAATGATGTGTGATCGTTCTTCATTTATTGCTCCTTCTGGCCCAGATTCTGTGCTGCTTGCTCTGCATGTCCTGGTGTCTGGAATCTCCCAGCCACCACAGAGGCAGATGCTGGGAATCACTGTGGCTTAGCAGAGAGCAAAGAGATGCAGAAGCTCTGGCACTTGCCCAGGTCCACCCAGCTGGTGAGGAGTGAGGTGGGCAGCTGGCTGGAGAAGCTATTTTCTTGACCTCACAGGTGATCTGAGAAGCGAGGCCAGGAGGCAGCTGGACACTGTCTTGCCCACCTGCATGCTTCTCCCAAGCCCATCTGTTGCCTCTGGCCTCTGCTCCCCTCTGATGGCCTCCTTTAGAATCTAGAGTAGCCCCTGATTGTTGACTGTGGAGCAAGGGGAGCCCCACCACAGAGGAGAGGCCTCGGCCACCAGCGGCATCGCTCTGATTCTGGGGGTCGCTCTGATTCTGGTCCAGGACTTTTGGACCAAGGACTAGGAGCTGGCCTCTGAGGTCCTTTCCCTAGGCAGGCACTGTCAAAAGTCCAAGGTCATGTGGACTTGAGAGTTCAAAAGCAACCTGGTAACATGGGGCTTTGTGACCACAATGTGGATAGTGGTTCCTAAATTTTAGTGAGCAAAAGGTCACGAGGGAGCCCATGAAACCCTGGGTTCCCCAGCTCGTTATGCAGGGGAAGGGCTCTGGAATCTGGATTCCTGGCAGTCCTCTAGGAGTTTGGGTAGGGGACTGTCCCTGCCCCAAGCAGCTGGACTCTCCTTTTGCAGAGGCCAGCTCTTCCCAATCCTAGACAGTCTGGATGCACCTGTCCCTAGAGAGAGGTGATCAAGAGGACCCTCCTGCCACCTCTGCAGGCAAAGAAATCAGCCACCAGCATCCTAGGCCTGAAGCTATGTGCCAGGCATCACATGAGGAGCTTGCAAGGAGGACACAAAAAACCTTGCTTATCCTCCTCCCAGTGGGCCTAGGAAGTTGACATTAGGATGCCCTAGTTTGCAAATGATGGGAGACTAGGCACAGAGAGGCTGAGAAACTTCCTCAGAGTCACACAGCTGAGGGAACGGAGGAGAAGGTTGTAATGCAGGATTATCTGGTGCCAACATTTCTGCTCACTCCACTGTGGCTGTCTTTTAAAAGCTGAAGCGCCCTTTTTAGTTCATTTGTTTGAGACAGGGTTTTGCTAAGTTTCTAAGTTGCTCAAGCTGGGTTTGAACTTGTAATCCTCCTGCCTCAGCCTCCCACAGGGCTGGAATTACAGACATGCATCACTATGCCCAGCGTGGATGTTCAGTTCTTATTGGCTAAATGGATGAACCAAGCGGTTTCCATATTGATAACAAATTGTAGGATGCTGACAGAGAATTCACCACCTGCGGTTCACCACAGCCAAGGGGTCCCACCTCAAACCTATCCGATTCTTCAGGGAGTCAGGGTTTGGCTTCCAGGAACAGACTTTCTGCAGAATGCCACTTTTGTGGCAGCGACTGTCAGGGCTCACGTGCGTGTGGCCCACGTGCATGTGTCTGCCTCGTGCCCCTGGGTGAGTGCTGATCCTCGGAGCACAGATTACAGACTCAGTCCAGAGGGCACAAGTCATGATTCCACTGGTTTCCCCGGTGCCGACACAGTTAAGATTCACCTCACCTTAAATGGTACTTTGAAGCTTTTCAGTGTAACCCTGGGTTAGTCGCTTAACCTTCCTGCACCTTAATTTCCTCCCAGTGAAGATAACAGCGCATATTTCAGTAGCTGATTTGAAAGTTATACGCTGTGTAATAATTCACAATCTAAGGGGCGCAAAGAGCAACCAGGGTGACTTATAAAGATTATCAAATGCAAATGATCTGGCCCTGCCTGAGATTTTTTTGTTGTTGTTCTGTTCCCTAGAGAGCATCTGACGGTGTTGGATTTTTGGTTGCTGCAACCACAAAGTGATCCTGGCATCTAATGGCCAGAGAAGCTGCTAAAAATACTACCGTGCCCAGGGCAGCCCCATCATCGAGGATTATCGAGCCCAGACATCAACAGAGCCGAGCTGAGTAAGCTTTACCTCATTCATCGGCACAGGCTGCCTACCTTTAGCTTAGAAGACATGTTTTTACAGCTGTGTGGTCAAGGAGTTTCACAGATCTCCACTTGACGAGCAGAAAATGATTAGCAGTCTGGAAAAATCACACCCAGCTGCCAATATGGACTCATTCTGTGACTAAGGTCCCCAAGCTTGTCTATAAAAGTCAGTGTTCCAGGAGTTCTGGGAAAGGCAGCTTTTCACGTTGATTCTCTGGGCCAGCTTACGATTACTCATTCAGTCTCACACCCAGGAGGAAGCCACCAGCTAGGGAAGTGCCTCCTGCGCATGCCCCAGCCCACCAGTCTCCTGGGAGGAGGACTCTCGGACAAACTGTCCTGGTCCTGTCCTCTAAACAAAGGCCAGTCGTCCATTCTCTGCCCACATTCTCCCCAGCCCTGCTCCTTCCTTCCTTCCTTCCTTCCTTCCTTCCTTCCTTCCTTCCATTCCCCTTCCTTCTTTCTTCCCTCTCACAAATATTAACCACGTATCCCTCGGTGGTAGAGGGGTAGGAAATAATAGTAAAGAAGCCAGACAAAAGCTCTGTCCTCAAGCATCTTGTGGAAAGGACTTGGGCCACAAGCTCATCTGTGACACTGAGCTTCTCTTTAAAGGCCCTTGACTCCTCTGCTCTTCTTTCTTTTTTTAGTACTGAGGGTTGAACCCAGAGCCTTTGCAATGAACTACATCCCCAGTACCTAGTTCCTTTTTTTAAAATTTTTTTTGGTGCTGGGGATCGAACTCATGACCTCGAGTTTGCCAAGCAGGCATTTATGCCGCTAAGCTAAACCCCGGCCCCACCTAGTTCCTTTTTGAGACAGGGTCTTGCTAAATTGGTGGACTGTCAAAACTGGGCTCTCACTTGTGATCTTCCTGCCTCAGCTTCCCAGGATGCTAGGATTACAGGCATGCGCCATCATACCCAGCTTCCTAGCTTTTCCTGAGCTCTTAGAACCAAAGATCTTGTAAGTTAAGAGAATGTTTTTGTTTATTAGAAAACTGAACAGCTGGCTCTTGGTCCCCAATCACCAGGTCTTGGAAAAGATCATTCAGGATGCAGGGTGGCCAGAGTGACCAGTGAGAAGACCCCAGCTGTCACTCAGGAGGGCGTGGCAGGGGCTGAGACCAAGGTGGTAGATGATGTGGAAGGGGCCAGACCCCAGAGCTGCTCGGGAAGGAAGACCACAGGGAGGGAGGGAGACATAGCCCGGGCGTGAAGCAGCACCACGCGGTGCTCAGCACAGAGTACCGGGACTCCCGAGCTCGCCAGGAACACTGGTTCCCCGCCCCTCCCTTGCCAAAAAAGCTGCCTCAGCCTGGGTCACACACAGAGGGTAGCACCTCTCTCTGGCTTCTGAGACTGGCACCCACATTTTATAGAGCTTAGCAAATCCACTTACCTTCCTTGAGTGAGAAGCTCAGAAGGTCCTAAGGAAAGAGAAAGTGGGAGTCAGTGGCCCGCAGACAGACAATCAGACGCTCAGAGGGCAGACATCTGGGGACTCCTCCCCTGTGCAGGTCAAGACAGACAAAACCTTCTGCCCTTTCGCACACTGGTGCTTCAGATAATAAACAAACAAGCAAATAAAAAAGCACAGGAGCCAACTCCAGGCACGGGAGGGAAGGGCAGAAGGGGCTGCTTTCTGCCTTTGTTTTCAGTCGGTCACCGTGGTTGTCACAAGCTTCTGCCTGCTTCAGCTGCACACGGGGCAGGCCCAGGACATGTCAGGGCCCAGGGCAAAGCCGCTGCTGCAGAAAGGGTGGTGGGCACCGCTTAGGGAGCACGGGTCCTGAAGTCAGGGCACTGAGGCTCAAGTCCTGGCTTGACCTCATATGAACGGTAAGAGCATGTGGGCAAGTCACACGACTTCTCTCTGCTTCATGCAGAGAGATCGCAGGCTGAGCAACTCTAATCCAAAAAAATCCAAAATCCGAATACATCCAAATATCAAGTCTTTTGAGCACCAATCTGCTGCCACCAGTTCCACCATGAAAGTTTCGTTTCATGCACCCAATGATTACAAATGCTGTATAAACTTGCTGTGAGTATATGGCCTGAATGAAATATAAATGAACTTCATATTTTATTTGGGTTCCATGGGATGGGGGACATGGGAGAGCATATGCCTGAGGTTTTGGCTTCCATCCTTAGCACTTAAAAATTTTTTTTTTCTGATTCCAGTTGTCTCAATGTGGGTTCCATCATTAATATATGAAAATATTTCCAACAAATCTGAAACACTTCTAGTCTCAAGCATTTTGGAATGGATACTCAACCTGTATGACCTACCTCAGAAAGCTGAGAATTGAATGAATAATTTTTGTAAAGCTACAAGCACGTAAGCACCACAAGGGCATTAAATGGATAGTCAATACTCATCAGCAATGACCAATGTCATTGTTGTATGCTGTGATGGATATTTTATCCTGCAACCACTCCATCGCACTAGATGTGGTTCTTAGACTGATCTGGAAAGGAAATGACCACCCGCCTGTCCCTGGCAGCCGTCACCCAGCTCCGAGATGTACCTGAGTGATCAGTGATGGGTCGCCCTTCAGGATGGGGTCCTTCAGTAAAATCTCAGCAAACATGTCAGTTCCTTCACCTCCCAGGCCACTGGCAAAAGCAGTCATGGTTGGCAGGACGGCTTCAGACAGCTCCAGCCACTTCACCAGGCCTGCCATGAATTCTGTGCAGAAGGAGCTGAAAGACAGGCCTGGCTTAGGTCCTGGATCTCTGCAAGCTCAGTCTCTGGAGAGCACGGGGATTTATGTGAATTGCAGTCACGGATATAAGTGGCAGTGGTGCATGGAATACAGTTTTAGGCCATGTGGATTTTACCTTTTTCTCCCACTAAACTACAGACTGCAATCTGGCCCGTGGTCTGTTCTTACTAATAAAGTTTTATTGGTAACACACTCACTCCTTCCTGTATTGCCTCGCTGCTTCTGGGCTACAACAGCAAGGTGAATGACAGAGACCCCGTAGCCATGAGCCTAAAATATCAGACCCTGCAGGAGTTTGCTGGCCTCTGCTCTACTTTGCCAATTTCTCATTTTTAATAAATGGGATTGTTTAATAATTTTTTTCTTTTTTTGCAGTGCCGGTATTAAAACTGAGGTCCTTGTGCATGCTAGAAAAGCACTATACCACTGGACCACATCCCTGTCCATAAATATAATAAACCGTAAGGAACAATTAATTTATGGGGCTTACAACATGGATAAGAAATAAACATTTAGAGGTCTGCTTTAAAGCCCCATGTGGGTGAAAACTATAAGTGTTTTCTATAGAGAATCACAACCAACAGTCTATCTGGGCTTTTAAAAGATGAAAGCTTTAAAAAAAAAATGTATTGTCTCAGAGAACAAAATGTGGCAATGTCGGGCATCCTGACTTGGTAACTCACAGGAGGGAGCCCCCACAACAAACGCTTACAGTGGCCAGCACGCGCACACAGCCATGCGTGGATATGGGCTGGGAGAGGGGACAGACATGGACGGTAGCTCAGGTTTCCCAGTGCCCTCCCACATGGTGCCCAGGATGGGCCTGGCTCAGTCCTTGTTCATATTTGTTTACGGAAGGAAAGAACATACAGTTCTTCCTGGCTAGAGAGCAGTTTGGCAGGTAGGGGTTTATTAGGTGTAGGTGTATCAGGTTAGGGGAACCCTCTGGAAAGATGAGGCTTCCCGGATATGGCAGGGAATGAGCAGATGAGAGGAACAGCCTGATCTGGGGGGCAGGCTAGGAAAGGCCCTTGGTGGAAGGGACCCCCACTAAGACAAATATGAGAGAAAGATGAACACCTAAACCCCCCAGGTCCCAGACAGGAGGGAGGCTCTGAGTCTGTGTGTGATGTTGGATGCAAGAACACCCAGTTATCACCTATCCCCAAACCGCTGTTTGCTGTCCCAGTAATACCGACCCTGGCCACCTGAACACTCCTCCTTGCCTCAGTCTTTGGGGCCACAGTTAGCTTCTGCCTCAGCCTCACCCCAAATATCCAACCTATTGCCAAATCATCTCCATTCTCCCTGAGGAAACACTGTTCCTCTGGGCCTCCGTCCACCACTTGTCACCTCCCTGGCCCCCTTGGAGCAGCCCCATCAGCCTCCTAAGTGTCCACCTGCCACCTCCAGACTCTCCCTGGAAATCCTGGAGGTTTCAAAGGCCAAAGCCCACGCACTTAACGGTTCTGCTGTTCTGACTCCAAATATATGATCAAGCACATTTGCAGCAGCAACCACCAATGACAGATATGAAATATAACCTCTCGATTAAACCTGCCATCCTTTCAATCCAGTGCCACATCTCATCCCAGCGCAGCCCTCCAGTGCCACCATCTGCCACTGCCTGGTCAGCCAGGTGGGTGCCCCACCCAGACATAAGCACCTCGAGGGGAGAAGTGAGGCTTTGTTCTTCTTTCTCTTCTCACAGGTTGTGCACTGTATCTGGCACACAGTAGGTACTCAACTAATGCATGTTTCATGAATGAATACATCTCTCATCCCCTAAAAGACTGTCTTAGTTGAGGGAGAGAAGGCAAGTGTTCTATTTGACTCACTTGTATATGCCCTCCATGTCCTACAAACCAGGTCCAGCACACAGAAGATGCTCAGATGCTCAGAGAAGCTTGGGGAAGGCATAACTAAAGGAAGGGATGTCATCCTCCAGCCAAACTGAGTCCCTTATAGGCACGGATGTGACTTTATGGTGCCTGAGGACCTGGCAGGCAGCTTGGCTGTGAATAACTACCTTCCTTACTGGATGTGTTGAACACTCCTGTCATCCCAGCACTCTGGGAGGCTGACGTAGGAGAATTCTGAGTTTAAGTCCAGCTGGGCAACTTGATTAGATCTTGTCTCAAAATAAAAAAAACAAAGGATGTGCTAGGGATGTGGCTCAGGGGGAAGGCCCTGGGTTCATGCCCACCCCTGGGGGAAAAAAGCCCTCACCCTGAAGAAGTATGACTTTCCCTCCACGGGGCAGAAGAACTCACCTCTGCTCAGGTTCTGGAAACAGCTGGGACAGGGAGATGCCACAGAGGGCAGCATAGGCAAAGCGGTTGGCCTCTGCCAGCTCCCGGCCCACGGGTTCCCTCTCTGCAGCTGGCTCGGTCCCCTGAGGCTGCTTCTGGCTTGGCCTGTCCCATGTGGCCATTCCTGGCTCTGCAGAAGAAAACACCGGTGAGAAATGCTTCCAGGTGCAGAGGGTACTGGAAGGGGAGACAAAAATCATGGACCACAAAAGAAAAGTTTATGTTATCCTTCATTACAACAAAGAACTTCTACTTGGCACCTTTAAGAGAATGAAAACACAAGCCCCAGACTGGGGTTTTCAATATGTGCATCAACAAAGGATTCATGTCCATTGCATCTACACAACTCCTATAGCCATTATGAAAAAGAAAAGAAGCAAATAAAAAATGGGCCGAAGATTCAAATGGATACTTCATAAAGGGGCATCTCAAAGGCCAGTATGTGTACAATATGGGGGCCAACACACTAATCATGAGAGAAATGGATATTAAAGGCCCATAAAGGTACCATCACTTGGCCACTGGAAATGTAAAGCTAAAAAGACTAACAACAACAAGTGCTGGTGAGAAGTCAGCAGCACTTCCACCCCTGGTAGGAGGGGAAATTTGTAGAACCATTGAAAAATGACTGACAATGAATGTGTGTCTTCTCTTTGCCCCAGCAATTCTATGACTGAGACACAGGGCTGTGTCCATTAAGAAACATGTACATGAATGCTCAGAGCAGCTCTATCCACAAAAGTCGACTCTGCATCTTTTGTTTCTGCATCAGCAGATTCAACCAACTGCAGATCAAACTATTCAGGGAAACAAGGTGGGTTTATACTTGAGTGTACAGATGTTTTTCCTTATTAATGTTCCCTAAACTACATAACATTAACATCTACTTACAGAGCACTTATTATTGTTAAAGTTTAGATCTAATATTTCCTCCAAAACTCTCCAGTGCTCAGCGGCAGGCCCTAGTCTGTGGAGATGCAGTGACCCAGAAGGGTGTGTTCCTGTTTTAGGCTCCTCCTCCTCCTGTGTTTGTTGGCTGACATGGGTTGAGCCCGTTTTTTCTGCCACATCCTTCCACCATCCTGTTTCTACCTTGCAGCCAGCTAACCATGGACCAAACCCCCAAAACCATGAGCCAAATTAAACTTCTCCTTCTTTAAGTTGTGGGTGTTGGGTATTTTATCCCAGTAGTGAAAAAGTTACTGCACATTAGTAGCTAAATTAGTAATTCAGAAATGACTTATAGTACACTCTGGACATGTAGGCTATGTGTAAATACTATCTCATTTTACATAAGGGATTTGAGCATGGACGCGTTTACGTACCTGCAAGTGCCCCTACAACCAACCTCTAGATCTGAGGAAAAACTGTAATTCCAACCTGGAAACAACTCTCATGTCCACCACAGAGGACTGAATGAACTGTATCGTATTTGTACCATGGAATATTATACAGCGATGACAATAGGTAACCACAGCAACATGAAAGTGTCTTACAGATGATACAGCAAGCAGAACTGCAGGATTCAGTTCATATGAAGTGGAAGAGCAGGTAAAACTAATGTGTGGTGACAGAAATCAGAAAAGGTCACTCGTAGCACAGCACTGGCTCAGAAGGAGCACGCTGAAGTTGCTGGACGATGTAATGTTCTCTCTCCAGCCCTGGCTTATGCCTATTAATGTATTTAACAGGCTGTACACTTTAAGACTTGTGTTGTGTATGTTACACATCAATGGATGAGGGGAAAAAGAGACAGAGCCTTCCTTTTTTCCTCCTTCCCTTCTTTCCTTCCTTCCTAAGAGCACAGAAGGAGGAGAGAAGGTATAAACCAAGCCAACCCAGGCAGCCACTGGGCAGGAGGGCCCTGGAGCTGGCCATGGGACAAATCCAGGGAGGGGAGCCAGCTTCACGGACAGGGTATTGAGGACACAAATGCAGCTCAAGGCCAGAGAGTCCTGGGTGGGAATCTGGGCACCTCCACCTAACAGAAGAGGGCCCTGGGTGACTCAGCCTCTGCCCTTAGTGGCCTCCACCTACAAACAGAACTGCACACAGCTGCCTGCGAGGGCCACGAAACAGCCCACCAGAGCAGGCAGAGGGTGTGTTCTATATACGTTTGTTAAAGAAATAAATGCATAAAATCATCAACAAACAAGATTTTTAGCAGCTACCTGGCATAGCATGGGGCATAATCAATAATAATAAAATCCAGTAAGACAGAGGTGTCCCTGGGTAACACCGAGGCTCTGGCAGACTCTGTGAGCCCAGGAAGCACCTCAGGCAAAGGAGGAAGTGGGCTCAGAGGGGAAGTCATGCTGGGGTCACCGCCCCAGGAAGTGGCAGGCTCACAGAGCCCAAAGCCAGAGTTCCCAGCTGTATTTTAAACAATCGTCACATTGCTAAGAGCTTTGTAGTCCAATAACCATGCACCACGCTGCTCTTGTTCCAAGCATTTATTCTCATCTGGTTGAGCCATATGGTACTTTGTTCTCAAAACACTAGTTGTGTCGAGGAATTATTTAAGTCTGACCACAACTCATTTCTCATTAGTTTTCAGAACAATCCTGACATCATCAAAAGCAACACATCATTTTCCAGCAATTGACAGTCTGCAAGGCACTTTCCCATCCACTGAATTCTCATAACTACTGCTTAATGCTAAGTTGGGCAAGAAGAGTTCTAACTTCCTCCTACACATGAGGCTCAGAGTGGCCCAGTGATGTTCCTAAAGTTACACAGGAATGGATGACATCCACGTTAGATTTTGACTTCAACTCTTGAGTACTTCCCTCTGTAATGGTATAGGGACCTTTGTTCCCTCATTTCAGGTGGAGAAACTGAGGCCCAGAGACGTGATGACTTTGCCCAAGGAACTCAAGTCTGAGACTTGGAGTAGATTTCCTGGGCTCAGAGGACCGGCCCATATCACGGCAGCAGAGACGGGGACAGTTCAGATCATGCTCTGAGGCCATCGGTAAGGGCACCACCAGCTGTGATGTCAGCTGGCTCAGCAGTTTCCACCCCATTTAATCAACTCCATGTTGGAGGCTGCGTAATTGTAACGGCGCCTGTTACCCAGAGGAGCTGGAGATGGTATTTTACAGCTGGTATCTGGGGAGCTGCAGGTCAGTTCTTAGTTCAGGAATAAGCGGCCTCCTGATCAGAAAAGCAGGAGCCAGCTTGCTTCTAGCCACAGGGAAGCACAGCAAACAAAAGCTCAGCTCATTCATTCATTCATAAATTCCTGCCTTCTTTCCTTCCAGATAATGCACTCTCAATCCTCCATTGTGAATTCTCTATGCAGCATCGTGGAATTTTGGTCTCTTGCCTGCCTTTCCACCATGACACATCCGAATACTCGTGGATGGATTACAAGTATTCATCTTGCCCCTGCTTGTCTCCTCCAGATTCTGTTGCATGCTGTTTCTGTCCTGTTCACTACACTCCAGCCACACTGGCTGCATTTCTGTTCTCCTCTGAGTCTTTGTTCCTGCCTTTCCCCAGACCTGGAATATCCTTCCCCTGACTTCAACTTTGGCCTGAAAGTCATCTCTGAGAATCCTTCTCTGACCACCCTGGTCCTCTACTGCAGCACTCTGTTCTATTTTTATAGTGCTTCTTCCTAACTAAAATGAAGTTTTACTCATTGGTTCACCTGTGTACACACATACGATGTAAACTCTGGATCAGCCCTCAGCTGTTCTTACTTTTTCTATTTTTTTTTTTTTTTGTCTTTTTCCTTTTATTCGGTACCAGGGATTGAACTCACGACTGTCTGCTTGCAAGGCAGGCGCTTATGCCACTGAGCTAAATCCCCAGCCCTGTTCTTACTTTTTCTGCAGGCATTTGACAGGTATTTGCTGGAGGATGAAGATGGGTTATGACGTGGGAGGCCTCATTCTAAGCTCTGGGGCAGGTCAGGAGACAAGAGTGACAAAAACCCTGCTTTCTAGGGAGTCTGTTCTAGTGGGAGACAGACTACAATACACCAATACACAAGGAGACAGCAATTTCAGCAGCTTGGTCAAGGGCATAGAATTGGTAAGATTCAGGTCCAGCTGCAGGACCCAAGCTCTTAACAGTCTACTAAATAAACCAGGAAACATTTGGCCAGGAAGTGGTGAGGGAGGAGAGCAACTGAGCAGGGGAAGGGGGTACAGAGTAAAGGAGAGTGAGAGGTGATTACTGTCTACAGATGAAAGATGTCATTGTAACAGAGGCCATAGACGGATGGATAAATGGGTGGATGGATGAACGGATGGATGGACGGATGGATGGATAGATGGATGGAGAGATGGGTGGGTGGGTGGATGAGTGGTTGCTTGGATGGATGGATGGATGGATGGACGGATGGGTGGCTGGGTGGGTGAATGAATGGATAGATGGATGGATGGATGGAGAGATGGGTGGGTGGATGGATGAATGGATGGATGGATAGGTGGGGTGAATGGGTAGATAGATGGAAGGATAGGTGGGGTGGATGGGTGGATGGGTGGATGAGTGGTTAGTTGGATGGATGAATGGATAGGTGGGTGGGTGGGTAGATGGATGAATGAATGGATGGGTGGATAGATGGAGGCAGGGATCAGAAGAGGAAGCAGTGGGGGGAAGCAGAGGGATAGGTAAGCAAATGAATGGTGACAAATGAGTGGGCTAAATGCTGTGATGGAGGAGCTCTAAGAGAGGAGATGGAACCCCAAATTGGTTCCTTTGGAGAAGATGGCTAGAGAATCAGGCAGGCACAGGGCAGCATGAGACCCAGAGGTAAAAGAGGAAATGTTTCTGAAGACCCAAAAACATATTAGGTGTAGCTGGGTGTGGACAATGGGTGGCCATGGGGTGGGGCAGGGAAGACATAGGCTTGGGAGGAAGTCATCAAGGGTTACCCACGAAGGGCTGAGTCGTCCAGGGAAGGTGCTTCTTAGTTGTAAAGGTGGTGGCCATGCAGGGAGCAGACAGACTGCTTTCTACTGTTCCTATAACTTCCTGTGCATCTAAATTATTTTAAAGTTTAAAAAAGTAGGGTATGTGTATAGAATTTCAAAGGCCTAAGTAAATTGTAAATAGGTATTCATTCCTACTTACAAATTAACCAGTTATTAATTTAATAAGCAATATACGAGGGCCTGCTAGGTACGAGGGACCATGCTACATGGGGACACAGCAGTGACTGACAAGACAGGCAGACAGTGAGATCCCTCATGGAGACTTCATACTAGGGAGAGAAACAGGCAATAGATGCATAAGCTCTAAAATAAGGCACTTTAAAAAATAATGGTCAGGGGTCTGAAAAGAAGAAACTTTAAAGGATACTTACCCAGATTTGGAGAAACCACCCTGGGCCTCTCCTCTTTCCAAGTCCAATGAAAACAGGTTATTCAGCTTCTGGAGGGTTCTTCAAAGAATTATGCAAATCGCCCCAGGGGAGCAAACCAGAAAAACCAGCCCTTGGGTCCATAGGGTGGCACCAGCAGAATTCCTAAGGAGAGAAGGAGCCAGTTAGCCCAAGAGGCCTGGCAGGTACTTTCACTCCCTAGGCCTTTGTCCCTGCAGGTGACAGTGGCCCCCTTTACCCAGTACTGCCTAGCTGCAAGACAGAGCTCTGGGACTTCTGTGGATTGGCTCATTTAATATTCCGGATGCAACTCTTTGTGCCCTGAGGTGTGGTTACTGCATCTTACTGTTGGTTTAGCCTGGGCACCAGAAGTCAGGCATATTCCACATACTACTGTGGGGCCCAGCCAGATGCCTGTTGGATGGGTCCTCAGAAAATGCTGGCTGCAGGAAGGAATGAATTAACTTGTTTTTAGGTGTAATCAAGAGCTACCTTTCTCTAGCTCTCTCTTTGCTACAGACACATGCTCTTATACTCCATGGGAGCCTCATATGGAAAAAAGAAATGGATCAGGGCCTCGCATGTAGAATTGCCCAAGGATGGCCAAGGGCCCCAAATGAGGGTCTCCCCAAAACTTTGAATAATTTCAGCTTCAACCTACTGCATTTGTTTAATGCCAGGAAACAGGAATATTATTGTTTGCCTCTTTAAGCATCAGTAGGGCTTTCCATAAGTCATCAGGATAACATCCTGTCCCTGCAAGTCATCTTCGTCTGGGATAACAGAATGTACTTTGCCTAAAAATGAGGTTCTTTGAACCTTAAGGTCAATATGTTACAAGGATGCAGGGGCGTTTCTGTATTTCCCACATTTTCTGGCACAAATATGTGTTGCTTTTAGACTCTCTCAAAGATTCTCTGTAGAAGCACCTGCCTGGCAAGTGCGAGGTCATGAGTTTGAAAAAAGAAAAGAAAAGAAAATTCCATGGAAGGACCCAGGACAAATGTATCAGGGTCCTGATGCCGGCCAACCTAAGGGGAGGATTCTGGATGATGTTAATAGTTTTCCTGATATGTTTGAGTTCCATGAATTCTCAATATTAATAAGTATTGACTTTAGGATCAGAAAAAAAGATACGATTTTAAGTTACAATCTAGTGCACAGGAGCTGGTTCACACTGGCTTCGGAGAATCAATCCTGTAAGTCTCTTCTTCGCAGCTCTGTGTTCAGCCATGCCAGTGATGTGAAATTGCCAGAGTTAGGAACATGGGATATTCATACCACACGAATTGGCAAATGATACAAATCAGGGATTTTTTTTCTTTCTAGAGAGGCTGTATGCCAGCACAGCATTGAATGTGTAATATACCAGTTATTTTTTAAAAAAGTGTTTTGTAGAGCAAAAGCAGCACAAGGAAATATGTATCAAAATGATCACTGTCTCTTGGTGGTGAGGCTGAGGGACTAGAGATGATTGGGTTTTGTTTTATTTTTCTGTATTTTTAGCTTTTTTTTTGGTCATGAGCTTTTTGGTCATTTTTTTGGTCACTGATAGTTTTATAATGTAAAAAATAGCCTGAGTTAGTAACAATTCTGAAGCTGGCCAATATGACCGCAGCCCTAGCACTTTGGGAGACTAAAGCAGAAGGATCATAAGTTCAAGCCTACCTTGGGTAAGTCAGCAACTTAGTGAGACCCTATTTCAAAAATACAGAACACAGGATGTGGCTCAGGGGTAGAGCCTAGCATGCATGAAGCCCTGGGTTTGACAGTGCCCCCCTCACAACAAACAAACAAACACCAAAGATAAGCAAAAAAAATCCAAACCCAAATTCAAACAAAACAAAAACAACCAATAAAAAAAGAAAGAAAAGGAACTGGAGATACAGCACAGTTTAAAGGCCCTAGGTTTAATCCCCTGTATCACAAAACAAAACAAAAATTCTGCCTCCTGCTCTCTAGAATGGGAGTGCTTTACCTTAGAAAGCCCTTGCCCAGATGGCCCAGCCAAGCCAGGGCGGCTGAGGTCAGGGTTAAAGCCCATTCACCTGGCCTTGCTAATAATGAAATGACAGGGGTTGGTGTGACAGAGGCGGTTCTCAGCCATCCTGATGGGGGACTCAGTCAACTGTGTGAACTCCGAGGAGGACGGCCCCCTTGCCTGAGCTGAGGGGCGCCCCCTGCCTGCTAAGGCGGCAGCTGTGGGGTGGGGAACATGCCACCTGAGCTGTGTCCGCTGTTCCCAAGGGTCCTCTACCCCTTGACGTGATTCATGGTCAGGATGTAGCCCAAAGTTAAGCTGAAGTTCTCAAGTGTGTCCGAGAAGCCACAGCGATTCTGAGAGAGAATGCTGGGTGCTTATGACAAGGAAAAGACTCTGCTGGTCAGCTAGTAGCTCCTCTGTGCCCTGGGGTCATCTCATGTGCCCAGGGTTGGTTCAGCAGTTCCCGAGGGTCTCATCTTGGCCAAGGAATTCCAAGAAAGCCCCACATTTGACCCAGAAGAGCAGCGGCTGCCAGAGAAACAGGGCACACAGTATGAGCAACCACGCTTATGGCTGGACCACACAGCCCACACTGGGGAGGCACAGGGTTATTATGGAACGGGACCTCGCTGTTGCCCCCACGATTACGACTTTTGTCTGATCGGCTACACTGTCACCAAAGAAAATGCTGACCAAGTCACTAATGTTAATTATGGGGGTCCCTCGGTGAGTGTTCAGGGAAGATTCGTTGATTGACACTACAAGCAGTGGAGTGGGGTTTCTCTTCTTCCTTCTCCTCCTCTTTCTCTCCTTTCTGAGACACATCTTGCCATTGGATCTCACTATTTGGTGCAGGCCTCGAGCTCACTTTGTAACCCATGCTGGTCTTGTGAACTCAAGGCAATCCTCCTGCCTCAGCCTCCGTGTGCTGGAGTGCTGGGATTACAGGCCTGTGTACCACCACACCCCAGGGTGGGGTTTATGTTTTGGTGGTAAAAAATTGCAACACCAGCAAAGAAGATGAGGAAATCAAGTATGGTCAATATCACTCCTGAACATCTTTTAAGTTGTCCTAAAAACTGCATGAGCCAGGCCTTTAGACGATCACATGCAAGAAAAGAATTTCTTTTGTTTTTCCAGCTGTGCCCTGTCGGCTCCTTTGCAGCAGTCAGTGGAGGTCAAGGTCAAATCTGATGGGAATGTGTTTCTGGGAAGGAGGGGGCGGTTCTCTTTCTTGCCTCTTTCTGGCCACGGCTGAGTTTTTATACAATTCTGCAGTGCAATTGAATAATTAATAGAGAAATGGCTACAGTCCCTTGGGAACGCGGAGGACTAATTGCTCTGAGCCAAGATGGGACAGCATTTAGCTAAAGAAATGCTTTCCAACACAGAGCTACAGCGCCGTCCAAGGGCTGGAAACTAAAGATCACAGTTGAAAGGTAAACACGCATGCACGTACACATGCACACACGCATGGATAATTTTGAGATGCTTCTGGTTTACCATGTCCCCTGCCTCCTTCCCCTTCCCCAAACACTTAGGAGACACCCCCCTTCATCCTACACCTCTATCTGGAAGCCAGAGGCATCTCAGGAGGTCGCCATGACAACAGCGGCAGCCCAGAAGAGCTCAGAGGGTTTTGACAATCACATTTGACAATCACACCAGAAGGAAAAGGAGGTGTTGGCCCAGAAGGAAAGTTGCCATCCCACCTCGCTTCAGATGGAAGGAAGGCAGGACGGGCGGTGTGACAGTTGGCTGCCATCAGGCCGTGGGATGTGCGTCCCCATTTACTGCTGTTTCTCCCTTCCTTCCCTCTGGCGCCTTAGTTCAAGCCACTGGCCTCTCACCAGGGTCCAGCAAAGGGCATCCTCACCAGTCCCTTGCTTCCTTCTCTCTTTGCCATTCATTGTACTGTGTCAAGATAGTGCCATCTGGGGCAGTCAGAGTGTTCCCATCTCTGTTCTAAACCCTCCTAGAACTCACCTCTCACCCAGCCGTGACCATAAGGAAGGCGATGGGCCTCCTGACCTCTCTACCCCTCTCTTCCCCTCTCCATCTCACTCATTCTGTTCCAGCCACGCTATTCTTGCTGTTCCTGACCTCACTCAGCACTGTAAGACCAGCGCCTTTTCACAGGCTGCTCCCTCTGCTGAATGCCACCCCCACCATGTGACCAAACCCACACCTCCTCCCATCTTTGCTTAAATCGCACACCTCACTGAAGGTCCAGTCTCTTGACCCCTCTTCCCTGCAGCTCAGCTTTGTCCCCAGCTCCCAACATGGTGACACACCAAACCATTTACCGTTTCATGCATACTGCTTATTGTCACTGCTCACCTGTCAGCACAGGACACAGTTATGAACATTTCCTGAATGAACAGTAGCTTCACGTGAGATAACCGGAAAAGAATCCTAGAGGCCAATCTGCCTAGGAGGTAAGCGGCAAGCGAAGAACCCTGTAATGTTTCATGTGACCTACTAATTTTCTTTCAGTACTGGGGTGCTCTACCACTAAGCTACATCCCCAACTCTTTTTCTTTTCCATTTTGAGACAAGGTCTCATTAAGTTGCTCAGGCTGGGCTCAAATTTACAGTCACCCAAGTAGCTGAGAGTACAGGTATAAGTCACGCATTAGTTTTGAAATCATTCTTTGGGGTCCTGGGGTTTCTCTGACCTTGATGGGTAAGAGGAGACACAGTGGGAACCCTCTCACTCCATCTTCAAATTATGCCAGGAGATGATCCAGGAATAGCACTTCTGGAACTGAAAGCGGGCTATCATACAGACACCTGTACCCATGTCCACAGCAGTGTTTACCATAGCCAGGAGCCGGAGGCAACCCAGACAGATGACTGTGGACAGAAGAACGGATAAACAGAAGACCAAACAGACACACAGAACACTGATGGACCTCGCAGAGGGAAGGATGGTGTGACCGGTGATGGACTGACCCCTGACGACGCTGTGACACGGACTAGTAGCAAAAGATAAAGACCTCATCACTGCACCCAGAGGAAGCATCCAGAGTAGTTACAATCTCCTGGTCAGAAGGAAGAAGGGGAACCCGGGGGAAGGAAGAAGAGGGAGCTCTTGTTCAGTGGGTTTCAGATGTGTAAGTCCAAATGTTCTGGAGATCTGTTGCACCATGATGTGAATATACTAACATTAGAAACAACATGCACAGAAAATGAAGAAGGTACATTGACACGTATTTTAAGACAGTTAAAAAAAACTTTTCCAAAATCATTTGCCATGTGTAGCCTCTGTCCATGCACTCTCTCCTTGCTCCCCAACAATCCCAAGAAGCTGCTACTATCCCCATTTTACAGGTGGGGGCAGGAAGGTCCCAAGAAGTCTGGGTCACTAGACAGACAACATAGTACTTAAACTCGAACTCAGGTCTTTGTCTGAGCCAGTCACCTTAACTCTGAAGCCACTTCACTTCTCTTGGTCAAGGTAGCCCAAAAGAGTTCAAACAGCATTCAAAAACCACTAACCTGGACTAATGCCATCTGCCCACAGGCTCACACCCCTCTTGTTGGCCAGCTGCCCCATGGGCTCAGCCAACCTTTTCCACTTTACTGTCCTCCCCTCCCAGTTTGCTGAAGCAAAACCCACTGCTTCCAGGGCCCAGAGGGATCCCTGCCAGGGTCTCAGCTCATGCTGTCCTCCTGGCCTGGGTTCCCATGGCAAAAGCTAGCCCCTTTCTTTTCTTTGTTTTGGATTGAACTCATAACTTTGCTTGTGCCAGGCAGGCGCTGTGCTGCTGAGCTAAATCCCTGGTCCTAGTATCCACTTTCAAAAGCATGATTTGTGTCAGGAATCTAGCTCAGTGGCATAAGTGCTTACTTGGCAAGAACAAGGTCTTGAGTTTGATTCCCGATACCAGAAAAAAAAGCACTATTTGCTAACCAAGTCCAGTGTGCCTCACCCAAAGTTCCTCTCCATTTCACTAACAGGGTGACCTGCTTTCTTGGGTTTGTTGAGCTAACACATGACCTGCAGCCTCTGATGCCCCACAGGTGCCCACTGGGCCTCCTCCCTTCCTGGTATAACAGTTGGTGACTTACATACCTGTAAGAAGATCAGAGTGAGGGTGGGCGCAGGGTTTCTCCATCAGAGCTCTGGCTATGCACTCAGGTCTGAACAGCCATCTCAGCCCTCTGCCCTCCCACCCCACTCAGTGAATGCATCGACTTGATCAAACTGGTCCCAGCGTTGCCTGGTAACGTGTTTCCCTCACTGCAGACAGCTCCCTGAGGGCAGCAGCTGTTGAATCCTGGTCCCTGAGGCAACCAGGAGAGTTTCTAGCAGACAAGATGAGTAATGATGAATGAATGAATGAATGAATGAATACCTATGTCCACAACTCAGAAAGGACTCCAGTATATATTTTTGAAGGACAGTAGAGTTGTATATAAACGAGGCCTCAATTTATTTAAGAGGTGTTTCCTTCAGGTAGATTTTACTACCAAGCATCTACAAAGCAAACCCAGACCTGGTCCAGAAAGTCATAAGCCAGTGTTCAGGGTACAAGTAGATACTAATCCCCACAAGGAGGCTGGGTTGTAGCTCACTGGTAGAGCACTTGCTTAGCCTAGGGAGGCCCTGGGATCAGATCCCAGGCACCAAAAGCAAACAAACAAACAAATCCCATTCAGGAGATTAACCTCTAACCTGGAGACCATGGCCTCGTGGCCCCTGGTGTTAGGAATGCAAATCTGGTTTGGGCAGGCGGAGGAATGAGGAGGTACCCAGCATGCAACAGGGGAAGAGGAGAGGACGAGGAGAGGACGCAGGGAAGCCAAGCAGCGTTCCTGGGCACAGAAAACCATTGACAAAGTGTCCTGAAATGGGCTGGACGCCCAGGCCAGGTGTGGGGGCAGTGTCTTGTGGTCCACATTAAAGATTTAGGCAGACGGTGGTACAACCACATAGGCCCAGCTGCCAAGTGGGGGCAGCTAAGTGAAAAGTGGGTTGGATTCTCCCTGTCCTTTCCTTCCCTGTAACACATTCAAGGAAGCAAAGCCTCTCCCCTCACTCCTCACTTGCAGCCCAGTTTATAATTACAAGCAGTATTTACAAAACACTCAGAGCATAGGAGAGGCCTCAAGGATAAACCAAATGATCCTGCTCGGGCCCCATATTTGTCAGTCCTGGTGGCTGGTCCACGGAACCCATGTAAGGAGAGATGCTTTCAGGTTTATGAGAAATTCTGCAGAACTTCCTCCTCCTGGGGACCACAGGCTGAGCTGTGCCCACCCAACCACCCCAGCTGTCCTAGGCTTAGGAGGATCAAAATGCTCCCAGAGTGCCAGACACTGCTAGGTACCCTTGGTGGCACCAGTGCCTTTGAATTGCACCACAACCTGGCAGACAGGTACTTTACAAATGAGAACCTCAGGGCCAGGAACTTTACCAATGAGGAGACTGAGGCAATCCAGAGGTCTAGAAGACCAGCCGGTTAGGAAGTCACCAAGCTGCAGGGAAACGACATTGCATGAGGCTGCAGGGTTGTAAAAGCTGAAATGCTCACCGTGAGGTGTGTGTTGTGTTTCTGGGGACAGAAAGGAGCCTCAGCCTCCTTTCTTTGAAACTCTGCCACCCCCATCTCTGCCTCTAACGTTTCTTTACTGGGAGCAGAAACAGGTTATCAAGTCACCAGAGCCTCTAAAGAAACACACCCACCCTTCCCTGGCTTGGAGGCATAGCTCCGCGGGCAGAACGTGTTTTTAGCTTGCTCGAGGCTCTGGCATCTTTGGCCACCAAAGTGGGGGTTGTAAGAGAAAAGAATGATAGCCCAGCTTCCACCTGGGGCGGTAAGGCCTCTGATACAGGTCACGCTCTGCAATGACAAACTCATCAGCACGATGAGGTACCACAAACCCTGTTGTACAACAAAGAAATGAGGCCCCGAGAAATAAAGGGAGATACCAATGTTACACACAGCCAAGAAGTGGCCATTGCCAGCCGGGTCTCTAGGCACTGAGGTTAGTATATGGTTCCCTCTGGACCACTCTTTGCTCCCCAATCTTTGGGAAGTGGGAAAACCCAGGCTGGCAGAAGCACCTTGCAAGAGGCCCACAAAAGCAATCACTCAGAGGGCTTGACGCTATTTTAACATCACCCCCAGAGAGATGTCCGATCTCCTGGCCTCTAGATATTGCTGTGGCTGGGATGACCCCAAGATTCTCCCACTCTCTAGTGTCTACACCTGAGGACAGGACTCCTGTTCACTGCTGCATCCTCAGTGCCTAAGCAATGCACACCCAGGCACACAGTAGGTGGTCAATAAATACTTCATGAATGAATAGATGGATGCTCCTGAAGCTTAAAGGGTCATTTAATTTCTGCAGTGCAATGATCAAGAAATTAGGAAAAAGAGAACCAGGGCAATCCTTGCTAAGTTGAGGTGGGCAGTACTCTCTAGTTTAGGTCAAGACGGGCTCTAGCTCAGGTCTGCTAACTTGCTGTGTGACCCTAGGTAAGAGTAGAGGAAAGGACACTGAAAGGTCAGCTGTGTGCTTCAGGCTTTGATGTGAAGTGACCTCTGTTCTTACCCACTTCTTAATCCCACCCACGTAGCCTTGGGGAATTCCTGCCTCACTTTACCCAGCTGTAAAAATCCATCCAAATTCAGCAGCACAGATCCGTACTCCTCCAGCGACAAGCCACGCCCCCTGCACTGAGGAGGTGACTGGGATTTTCCCAGGCTCCCCAAATCCCTTAGGGCTGAGTTTAGAGCCCCCTCCTGTACCTGGGGGATGCAGGGGCCGGGAAGGCAGATGGGAGGTTGTGGTCCCTGGAGTCCTCGCCCAGCAGTGCGCCCAGGGAGGCAGCTCGAGGAGCTGGAGGAAGTCCAGTAATCCTGTGTGACCTTGGGAAAGGTCCTTCTCCCCGCGGCCCAGGCCTGCACCCCCATTTATCAAAGAGCAGGCTAGGCCCGGGGCTGGAAGGCAAGAGACACCGACTGCTCTGCCTGGCCTCAGTTTCCCCAGGTGCCGCTCCGCGTGATTTCTTAGGGCACTTCCGGCTCAGAAAGCAAAGTGGCCACGCCAGGTAGCTGGGCGCCGGGCAGTGAGCGCCCCGGTGCGCGCGGCCGCAGCGAGTGGATCGGTGTCCACGAGGGCGCGGGGCAAAGGGTCGGGGCGCGGGGCGGGCGGGCGCGCGCTTACCTGCAGGCGTTGGCGACGGCGGTGGCGGCGGAGGTGGTCGGGCTCCTCCCGCCGGCCCGCCCCGGCCCGCCCTGGCCGCGCCCAGCTCCCCGGCCCGTCCAGTCCCTTCCCGGCCCGGCCGTCCCGCCAGCAGCCGCGATCCCGCCCCGTGCGCCCGGGCCTTCCGGGTGCACTCGCCAACCGCCTGTCCCAGCCCGGCGGCCCCGCGCCACCCGCAGGGGTGCTGGCTGCAGGAAGTGACGGGCCGGTCCGCTGGGCCAAGCCTCCTGCGGGCTCCTGGCCCGTGGGGAAGCCGGGTAGCAGGGTGCCGGGAAGGCCTTTAAAGCTGGACTCTGCAGAAGTTGCGCAGCCAGGCTCGATTGGACCGAGAGGGGGGGACCCCGAAGAGACTTGGGTGGAAAATTTTTAAAATGTGCTGCATAAAGTGAAAGTGAACCGGGTGTGACAGTGCATACTTTGTCATCTGAGCACCCTGGAGGCTGAGGCAGGAAGACCACCGGGAGTTGTAGATCAGTCTGGGCTACATAGTGAGTTCAAGGCCATCCTGGACTACACAGCGATATGCTGTCTTTAAAAAAAAATTAAAAATAAAGAAAATAAAGTGTCAGACCCTGTTTGAGGGCTGTGGGCTCACACACCAGGCATACCATCCTGCTATATTTTAATCGCGGTATGTATCACACTATGAAATTATTTTGTTCAGTTTTTGCTTGCCAGTTTACAGTCTGCCTGCTCCACTTGAATTTAAAACTCCAGGTGTGGGGGTTTCCACTACCTCCCTCCCTGCTGTGTGCCCAGGCCTGGGCCTATTCCCTGAGGGCCCTTGAGAGACCTTGTTGCCCTGGCAACCCTGGGAGCTTTCCTTACACCCATTGTACAGGAGAAGACACAGAGCCCAGCAGGGTACACATAATGAGACCCAATGCTGGAATATGAATCTTCACGGCCTCAAAGGCTGTTGCTCCTGCTAGTGATGGTGGCCTGGTTCTGTGGGAGAAAAAGCTGTGAGTGGGTGGCATCAGAGGTCAGTATTCCCCCTGGGAGCCTGTACCAGCTGCACACATGGCGTGGACGCTCCAGGTGTCTACTGCCTCATCTCCCCAGTGGTCAATTGGGACAGAGAGAAGCAGCTAGAAGGTTCTTAGGAAGTCCCAGTGGGTCAGTTTCTCTTTTACAGGCTTCTGGGGCAGGAGTGTCATAGCTGAGCCTGTGGCTGTTAAGATGGAAGAGAAGCCTTACTGCAGTGGGTGACGGTGGAAAGTTCCAGCCAGCCCTCCTTTGCTCAGTGCCTGGTGGCCCGGTGTAGGCAGAACGGCACCTTGTGATGACACGCTTCTCTGCACGGTGGCTTTGCTCTGTGCCTCATTTGATGGAAACCTTGTGTTGGACCCATGCACCTCTGGACATTAGATTCAGTGACAGCCATGGCTCACCCACTGCCCCTCACTTTGGTGACCCCTGCCACACATAGGATCGATCCCCAAATAAAGAACACAGATGGAGAAAGTGGAGAAGACATATTTAAGCTTCATGGTGCATGCCTTTGAGGTTTTCTTTTTTTAAAGTTTGGTTTTGACACTGAGAGATTCAGTTTCCCTATTTGTAAAATCAGGATATGATGCCCTCCAACATTAAGAGTGGTCATGCAGATGATTGGAGCATATACTCATGAGTAAAGTACTTCAAAAGGCACCAAGGGCACACAAAATCATGAAAGATATTTCTAATAAGATTTCTTCTTACCAACTCTCTTGCAAAAGAATATTTAGGGGGTTATGTTGGAAGGGGAGTTACTGACTCCTCCCATCTAGATTTATTGAGTAGCTGGTGGAGTGTTGGACATTGGAAATAGGGGCAGGGGAAAGGACCGAGGTTGTTTTTCCAATAATATTCTGGTTTAGGAATTATGTTTTTCCAATAATATTCTGGAATTAATATTCTGGTTTAGGAGACAGGGAGAGGGCAGATGGACGATAAACAGATAGTAGTTTTTTCCACAGTGGTCACAGCTGTAAAGGAAAAGCAAGCAAGGAAAGTGATAGTAGATTAAAGGGGTCAAGTGACACCTGCTGGTGACCTTGGGGTGAGGAGAAGACAATGGTTTATGGGGATGGAGCATCCCAAGTGGACCTAGCAACTCCAAAGATGCTGAGGTGGGAGCGTGCAAAACAGAATAGAGGAGACACAATCAGAGGCTGTGCCATTGTGAGTGTTTCAATCAGCTTTCTGTCACTGTGACGAAATACCTGAGGCTATCAACTTCTAAGGACGAAAGGTCTGTCTCAGCTCATGGTTTCAGTCTGTAGTTGTTTGTCCCTTTTGCTTGGGTCCATAGGGGCACAGTGTATTATGGTGGGACATGTCCGAGAAGGCTTGTTCACCTCATGACAGCCAGGAAGCAAAGAGGAAGACAGAAGAGGGACCAGGGATGCAAACCAGGGCACACCCCCAATGGCCTAACTTCTTTCTGCCAGCCCCGGCTTAAAGCTTCTACCACCTCTCAGTAGTACTGCAGGCTGGGACCCAAGACTTCAATAAGTGGAGCCTTGGGGGGATTTTCAAAATGTAAACTACAACAGTGAGCTTTCTAAAAATGCTGAGACTGGGGCTTAGAGATGCCAAATTTAACAAATCAATGTATTTGAGTTTCGGTTATACCTGAATAATATATCTAGCGTGAAAATACTCCACTATTTCACAGGACATTCACTGTTCCTGACTTTTAAATATAAATGGGAAAAAATATAAATGGGAGCCCTGGGTTTTATCTGGCATCGATACTTAGGCCTTGGAAATATTCTCAGAAACTCTGATTCCCTTGGTTTGGAATCAGGCCAGATGTAGGTATTGATCACAGGCACACCAGGGGTTTTGCCTTGTCTCACTCAATTAAGGGATATGGATGATTGTAAAGGGTTTTAGACAGTGCACTGATGTGATCCTACCTTTTAAAAAGATGCCAGTTGCTGACACAGAAAGGACAGAGGGACAAGAGCAGATAGAGACAGCTGCTTAGGAAGCTGTCATGATAATCCAGACCAGGGAAAGGGCCTATATTTGTTAGATACCAGTATGAGCTAGCAACGGTATGTAAGGATAGGCAACTGGGTCTTGCCCCACCAGACCTATCCAATTTGGAATTTCTCAGGGCTGTAGGGGTCTAGGAATTTATATTTTTAATAAGGTCCCTGGCAATTCTGATGATCAAACAGGTTTGGAACAATGGCATTGCTGGATTATTACAAAAGTGTCTATGAATCCTGTTAAAGGGGCATTGGTCTGGCTTTCTGTGCTTTGGATACATACTTTATGTCACTCAGTTCTGGGTTGGATGTGTTGTCATTAGCCCCAGTCCTCAAAGAAGGGAATTAAGATGCAGAGAGGTTACATAATTTGGGCAGACTTACTGAGCTACGAGATGGCACAGCCAGGATTTGAACTCAGGCCTCACTGATCCTGCTGTTCTGCTCTCCCACAGGCTGAAATAGCAATGCAGAGGCAAAGATATTGATATGGGTTGCAGATAATGGATCATCAAAGGGAGAAGTGTCTTTGCTATGTCCTATTCATGTCCATCCTGGGGGCTGGCTTGGCCTGGATATTTGCTGAATGGAAATGAATTTTTGGTACCATCAACTGAAGGCAGCCCCATATCCTTTCCCATAAAGTGCACTCCTGCTGTCATTGTGCTGAATTTGAGGTGAACAGCCCCAAAGGCTATTTATGGTCACTTCTTTTCCAATCACACATGGAAACAGGAGCAGTGTTTCTATTGGGAGGGGCTAGACCCTTCCATGGATGAGGGCCAGGATAGAGGGGACGTGGAAGGTATGCAGTGACTATGGCTGTTGCATTGCTGGACAATCACTTGTTTGTATGTCCAAGACATCATTGGCCATAGAACTGAACTATGATGGGTTAATTGAATCATTCATTGGCATTGGCAGAGCCATGCAGTGAATGAAGCTTTGGAGTCAAAGCTATTGGGGTGCATATTTTTCTGCTGTCATTTTCATGTGTTAGGTAATATTTTGTAGCTCCCTACCTTATCCCTTACACAGAAGTGTGATTTATGGTTACTTGTAGAGGACCACCTGGATGACTCTCCTTGAATAAAAGGCAATTATCACCATAACCTTATCTCTGCGTATTGCAGAGGTGCTTTCAGGTCTCCTCCCTAGCCCAGCTTACAGTACTCATGTATTTCCCACCATTCTCACGGTCACTCATCCTCAAGCCATTCCCTTGTTCACGAATTAATAAAATCTGGGTTGGGCCTGGGCCGAGGTCTTTGTTCCAGTGAACTTCTGTCTAAGCTGGACTTATGACCCTATTGGCTTCCCGTAGCTATAAATATGTCTTACTGGCTTTATTCTCACCAGGGTAGTGGTAGATTGCAATTAATTTGCTGGAATTCCAGTAATTTTTCCATGGGATTACAGTTGTACTTGAAAGCCAGAAAGAAGAGAGGAAATAGGCCTCTCTCATTTGCTCTTGGCTGCACTCCCACGGTCAGGGAAAAGTATTTCTCAGAAGCCCCCTTGCTGAGATTACATGTCTAGATCACATGATCATCCCTGGCTGCAAAGGAGTCTGGGAAAGCAATATCTGATAGAAGAGATTGGCTCAGAACCTAATGGGCTGGAGCAGTCCAGCCTTAACATTCACAGACTCACAGAGTACAAACCTCCTCCCCAACAGATTACACCTTCAAGGCCCCCAGGAAGACCAGCCTTGAGTTTAGAAGCTCCACTTCCTTGGAGTTCTGAACCAGAACATGGTCCTGGATCCCTGCCCATCTTTCTTCTCTTTCTATTATCAGCTCCATTCCATACCTTGCCAAGTTGTAACTCCAGGCCTGTGGGCCCTCCAGCCCACACACTGCAGCCTCCCACAGACAGCTGCCTTTTGACTGCTCCTGGAATCACCTGCACTTTGGGAGATGGGGAAATACCTTACTCTTGCAGGCTAGAGATAGGCTGGGTGCTGTTCGACCAGAAACTTGGAGGTACTGGCACCCAGAATTCAGGCTTAAGTGGGGTATCCTCCTGGCCTCTTAGGCTCTATTGCTGTAGGCATTACCGAAGGTGGGCCAGCATAGAGTCTGATGCAAAACAACAAGACCAACACTGTGGCAGAAGCCAGACTTAAACCTTT